TAAAAATCGATAAAATCGATGCCGATCGATGACGAAAAGTAGCCTATGACACCCGCACCGTTCCAAAGTGTATGTGTGCAAAGTTTGGTCCGGATAGGTTCAAAAATGGAATTTTCTGTTCGGAACATACGTACACACAGGGCCCGGCAGGAGGTGGCATTTCAGAATTCTGAAAACGATATCCCCTTTGAAGCCAAAATTTCTTACGACTTCCCCTTTGACCCTATTTTTGACCCCCTTAAGTCCCTGACAAACAGATATACACAAATAATAAGATGGGCGGCTTCAGCGCTTATTGTAGTAGTACTACCTGGCTTTCCTGGTCCAGCCCGGGTTATCAAGGTTTCAGCTCAATGGGGTTCATCCAAAGGAATCTATAAAAAAAAACATAGGGTCAAGATTTGCACAAACTTTGACGTTTATATATCTAAGATACTACTCATTTATTAGCCAGCTGCGAAACTTTACAATTTACAATAACCGATTGCGATTGGAGCGCGCTTTCCGAGGCCGATCATAACGCTGTGAACCCTATTTGGGGCTGTATCGAAGCGGTGCCTTGGTGGTTTTGGAAGCGGATTTGAACATATAGTAATACTCTCGACCTAGTCCACTTTTTGTAAAGAAATCTGAGAAATTATGTGAAGGGAAGCAGGGAGCCACCCCAGGTGGCGCGGGAGCCACCTAATTTCGAAAAACACTTACCATTTTTTAAATTCACATAAGTTTCTCATAATTCTTCATACTTTTTTTGTGCTCATGGTCCTCCAACTACACAGCAAATTTGGTACCAGCTGGTATCGTATCAATTGTATCAATTTGGTATCGTTACTTGTGCACTGAAAACGAGCCTATTTTGTTATTTTCCTCTTACAAGAATTGCGATTTGAATTCCCGCCTGCGGGCAGGCTCGCGATCGGAGCACAGAATCTTCACATTGCTGGAATCTAAATTCATAGGACAGTAGCTTCAACAAGGAATGATGAATAAAGAATGATATGTGCATTGTTTATCGGTAAACAAAGGGGAAGTCGTATTTTGGGGTCAGTGGCTCCGCCCCGGACCCCAAAATACGACTTTTTCTTTGCTTTTTCGGGCCAAAAACGATATCCAGCTCGTGAAAGCGCCACCCCCGCTGGGCCCTGCGTACACACAGACATACAGACAGACATACACAGAGAAAAACAGACATCCAGCTTTATGCATAAGATTACCCGAATGAGAAAAACCAAATTTGATATATAAGAAAACTAGCGCTTGCATGAAGTTGAAAATTTACGGTTATATTTCTGTAGTAAAGGCCTGAGTAAACAGTTACCCGCATGAAGACAGAATAGATTCATTTTTGTAGAAGCACAAAAATTTGATTAACTCTTTTTTCAGCTTGAATGTCTAATGAGAACTGTTATCTTCGTGAGCAAGTGAAGATTCATAGGATGTTTTTCAACAAAAATATAAAGTTTTTCCGATTTTTTGAGCAACGAGTGTGACTCAGATTTCGGCTTCGAACTGCGGCGGATCGAAGCTAGTACAAATATGCACATGCCATCTTGTAGAGCTTGCTTTGCTCTATCAAATGGCACCCCGAAGCCCTATTGAAAATATGAAGCGTAGGATTTACCGCTGTAAGTAACTAGAGTGTAACAAGACTTATGTAGCAACCTAATAGGTATAATGTTAAGCAAGGCATTAATAATGAAGAAAGGTGTGGTTACTTTTGATAAGCGCCATAAAGGTTGAGCAGGTACTATGACGCAGTTAACAAATGTGGCTAATTCCAACTCAAGAATCAGGAACTATTCAAAGTTTCCTTCCATTTGCACAATTACATATCGTTACTATTGGCAAAACAAATTTCAACCATGTGTTTCACGCATAATGTTCCTTCTTTGCTTCAGATGAGATAGACAACTGAATTTGTAACCCATTTTAAACACTTAGTCACTTAGATTTCATAGTCAATTTATGCACATAACATACTCAATTGATAAACCTTTGCTGTAAGTAGGAAATAATGACAGATACACTTGAGAATGATCAAATTCCAAAACAGTATCAAGGTGGCAGCGCTATAAAAGACCGATCACATGAGATAGTTGTATTATGAAGCTCATTCTACTTCTTGTCTTTCTCCCGTTGAATTGAGAAAGTCGTACTCATTTTATTGAGTACGATGCTCTTGACAAACCTTCGGAAACCTTTCTTATTTCATCGTCTCCATTCTGAAGACTGCTCGGTATCGATTTTCTTGCATTTTTCAGTCACTTTATTGAATAGGAACTTCCAGTCATTGGACATGAAGCAGGTAAAGGTCTACTCTAGCATGCGGATTCTCCAAGCAGAAGCGCTTGGACGTCTCATCTTTGCAATGCTTAAAGAGACTAATAAATGGTGAAAACAGATGACTTCCTTGAAATATCATATCATTAGCAGCTAAAATGACACTATCACGTGTTGGGGAAGCTAGTTTTCTAGCAGTTCTTTCTAGTTTTCTTTTAGCTAGCACGTCCGAACACCCAACTATCAAAGTTGAGCATGACCTGTTTATAAAATGAAAGAATTTTACAAACTTGATTTATGGATGTTCATCGGAAATCTGCTGGATCATAGCCTCGTGCTTAAAGGCAGCGTCCGCGCAAGATCCACCCACCCAGATTAGCATAGTTGTAGCAGCATAATTGTAATGCGGACCCCATGATCCGATCTGCGTTGGTCAGGTTCTTTGATGTGGCTTCTAAAAGGAGGCCTGTGATACATATCACAAACCTTCCCTGAGGACGAGTGCTCGCGCATCGATCGATCATGGATTGCAACTGCACCCATGCAGTTGCAGCTCCTCCTAACAATCCGAGACTCGTCCGCGCTCTCAAATAAGGGTCCCTAAGAATTGCGTTTTTTGAGGATTTTGGAAAATTTGAACATTATAACTGTTACCAGGGCCACGGAAAGGCCCTAGAACGACAAAAACATGAGGATCGAGATTTCGCCCGGACGCTGTCTTCAAGAATTTTCTCAGTTTTCGAGTAACAAGAATATGTAGGAGGGCGAAGCTGGAGCTTAGTGACGATAATCCTGTTGTCCAAGGTTACGTGTAAATGCTTTTTTGGTATTGCACTTGTCATACAGCAGTTCAGCGTAACGAAGCTTGGTACGAGACCAGTTCTTACGTTGGAAAGAACCATCAAATACTATGATATCCAAACACATTTCCGTACACGTAGAAAATGTGGCTACAATAAATTCTGATAGCAAAGCAAGCTATACAAATAGCTATACAAATAGAAATATGAATATAATATATAATCTTCACATCGAGTGTGGCGTGTGCGGCAAAGTACGCCGGTATGCCTCCTGACCTGTAGCTTCCAAGATGATGCCTGCATAGATGCCCGCGCACCGGTTGCGCTCCAGTCTCGAAACGACATTCTTTAGGTCTCAGCGGAAGGAGAGAGCAAGCTTGTACTTATTCTTTCTTTTGAGAGGCACTCATCTGATTTGCTAGCATGTGTTCTATTATACTAAGTATTATATATCAATATATTATTATATATTGTTATATATTATTATACTATTCTATTATTATACTATTAGTATAGTATTCATCTATTCTAAGTAGCGCTCTTGAGTCTGCTACTTACAAGGAAAGGATAATTGGTGACCGTGGCCTTTCGAAATTAAACGTACACCATTGAATGCATCTTGAAGCGCTGATTCCAATTCTGTTTTCGTTATCTGCTGTGCGCTCTTCCGAAAGAAGTTATGAACATTTCTTGTCACCAAAATTTGCACTGTTTTTGATGCAGAATTCACCAATATCGTTGGAATGTTCGTTTACGCACTACCAAAAAGCGTACAAATAAAGTAAAGTCACGTTAAGCTCAGAAAAACTATCGCCGATACATAAGAGTCTAAAGAGCTGGGATACTGACGATTTTGACTGCCTAAAAATCGCAAAATCAATATGGAAAAAAGTCCATAACTTCAGGGAGTCGCACAGCAGGCAATGAACATAGATTTGGAATCAGCGTTCCAAGGCGCACCTACTGGTATATAGTATGGACCCCGGCCAGCTTCCCATAGGTATCACCGCGGCGCATACGCAACGCGGGCCCGACTTGGACGCTTCTCATTTCATTTACGAATACGAAAGCATTTCTGCTTGAATAAGGAATGAAGTGAGAAGTGGAAACTCCCATATGAAACTTGAGAAAGGCCAAAGCATTAAGAGAATGGTCCTAACTTCCTCCAGCGCTTAGATTTTAGACAGTCTCATTGAGGCTAGTTTGACATTACGATGATGGGTGATAGAGGAACCAGAAAAAGTTGAGGAACACTTTTACTGCTGCCACAAAAACTAGAAAGTTTGAGATCGAGAGTAGAATGTTAGAAGAAAAGCCTTAACGGCGCATTGAAAAGGCCTAGAAACATCCTTAAAAAATCAATCAGACATACAGGCTTATTCTGTAATAGCAGCCATTGAAGACACATCCGAATGCTTAATCCAGATAATCCAAATACAGATATACTAATTCAAATCAGCACTATCGAGAAAAAAAAAGAAATTGATTAAAAACGCTCAAGGCGTCAAGTCTTGTAAAAACTCCTCAACGGCAGTTGTCGTGAGTTCTTTGCACCTAAAAGAGAGAAATTACAGAATTGAACAAAGTCACATGAGAGAGAAAAGCAAAAAATCCAGTAGAGCTGAAACGAAAAGCGCATTAAAGGCATGCGCTGCGCACGCGTCGCGGAGGTACCTATGGGAAGCTGGCCGGGGTCCACACTATACATCTCATTGCAAAAGGTCACGGTCACCGAGTATCCTTCCCTCGTAAGAATAGATCATTCCTGAAGCGGCACAATGATGCACGATACGACTGCTGCTGATAATTGATAAGTGATAATGATCCCAAAACGCGTATTGATTACCGCCATGATTGATCGCACTTCCCAACACTCGATGCGTTGTTCATTTGCATATCCTTCGTACGCTTACGTGGTCTTTAGTAGACGCTAGGAGAAGCATTTTACTAGACGTTTGAAGAAGACTCGAACTTGTGCTGATCTGTTTTCAAAACGATATCAATTTCAATGGGAAATCTAATGGCAAGAAAAAATGAATATCGTCCACCGGTAGGTGTATTCTGCAGAAACGCATTTTACATAAAAGAATCGTACTGATCTCTTCCGGTCATAAACTGGGAGAAGCGTTGCAAAGGTTTGTTAACATACGCGGGTGGTATTTGCGTCAGAGATATTGAAGTTGTATGTGTTAGAGACAGGGCTTGGCACGAGCTGGCACCAGGGAATTTTCAAAACGAAGTCCCCCTTGAAATTTGCTAATTTTTACGAAGTCCCCCTTGACTTTTGGGAATTTTCACGAAGTCCCCTTTGATTCTCAACGATATCCCCTCTAAAATCCTAAAAAACGCCCCAAAAACGAAATGTCGACTAAAAAAAAGGTCGCCGTCGCCAATTTTGCATATCTCTTCGCCCACAAAAACGAAACCCCCTTTGCTTTTTGCTTCAAAAACGATATCCAGCTTGCCCCGTGCCAGCTGGTGCCAGGCTCTGGTTAGAGATATTGAAGAATAAAAAAAGCTTTTCAACGAAGCTTTGATAAATGTACCAATCTACTAATGTCTCTTCAATCTAGCCAGTTTATAGCTGAAAGAGGGAAAACGATCAAATTTGCAAATATGATGCTAACCAGTTAAACTTCGTCTGGCTTTTGAGCGATCGGTCAGAGTGCCAGTGTTGCTGCCGGTGTTAAAAGTGTTCAAAGTATTGTCGGCTTGAAAATGTTGCTGGTGTTGAAAGTGTTGCAGGTGTGAAAATGTTGAACGTGAAAACCAAGTGCTGCAGTCCATTCTCCCTCAAAAGATCTCAACGGTTGGTGAGTACGTTTGAGATGGGAAATGGGAAATAAGGTAACTGAAATGAGATGGGGAATGCTTTCGCATGCAAAAGATTCTCTTACAAACTTTTTAAAAGCGAAAGACTTTTTTGAAATAAGGACTCTTCAATATTTGAGAACGCTGAGACCTTCCATAGGTAGGTCTTTTACTCACTAATGACAGGCGCTCAACACGCATGACCTCAAGCTTTAGCAACATTCTCAAATTTCGAGATAACCTATTTCAAATAAGTCCTCTTAACCTATTTCAAACAAGTCCCCTTTTTTCCATAAATTTTGTACGAGAGTCTTTGCATACGAAAGGAATATTCTCATTCCATTTCAGTTTCATTTCTCATTCAAAACTTCTATCTCAAACGTCCTCACCAGCCGGTGAGATAAGTCGAGGAAAAATGAAACTGCAAGATTGATGATTTCCACATTCAACAATTTCAATACTGGCAAAGTTTCAACACCAGCGACTCTTTTAACACCGGCAACGCTTTCAACGCTTTCAACACCCGGCAACACTGGCAAACCCTGGCCGATCCCTAAATTTTGTTTTTGCGTAAACAACTGAACACTTTGTCTGCATCTCTTTCTTCACCTTCTGTGATAAAAGCGCCCTCCCCATCAGCCTCGCGTAGGGTAACATGACGTCGCGATGTTTTCGCATGCCGATATAGTACGATTAAGAAAATCTTCCTTGCGCAGTTCCAAATTATCCTCAACCCTCTCGTTAGTTCCTGAAGCGGTGGATTCACGCCTCCAATATGACGTGTGCTATGACATCCGAAGTACTTCGTTTATGAAGAAAGCAGATTGTTGAACAACTTCACAAATTTTTCATTACAACAAACTTTAAACATTTCTTGTTTTGTACAGTGCTGGCCAAAATGTTGCAGCCACTCCCAAATTTTGCTAAATCTTACTCTGTTTTGCATAGAACGGATCCAAATCTTGATATTACGTGCAAATCCCACTGCTTAACAGTATGTCAAAAGATCGTGCAGTTTTATGCACACAGAAGAGGGCTGTGGCGAAAATGAAGAATGTGGTGAAATTTAGGTTAGTCAAAACTTGCAGCCACTTTCCGCTAAATGTCTTTGAAAAACTTGTCACCGTCCATTATCTTGGCTACAGATGCATCCCTAAGCCTTGAGATATGCAGTGCAACTAGCCCTCATCAAACAGTAAAAAAGGAGATTTTACGGAGATTTTATCTTGCTTGGACGCCAAATCACCACAAAAATTGGACAAATCATAAGGTTGACGAGGAGTAATCAGCTGATTCGTGCTCTTTTAAAAAGGTTGTACCATCTGGACCTTTAGTGGCTGCTTGCGAATGCGATAGAAAAAGCATTATGTGGCATGCTTCAAAATCTAGCACCATCTCAGCTCAGATTCAAAGCATCTTTCAGCTTAAAAATTGGGCTCAGCAGTCTAAAAAGTTCTCCATCTTGATGAGAACACTGCTTTTACAAAGACAAGCACTTCTCGCGGAGCTTTATTGAAAGCATGGAGAAAGCTACTGCCAGAGAAAATTTTTTGCCATTGTCACATTTAGGAGATGTTTGATTACCAAAGGGAAATATCAGTTGTGAAATTCGCGCAAACTTTTCCAAAACAGTAACGCCTCCATGCCTCCAGTGAATTCCTGCAAAATTCGGGTCAGTGCTCGTTATGGTAGATTTTGAAGCATGCCACATAATGCTTTTTCTGTCGCATTCGCAAGCAGCCATTAAAGGTCCAGATGGTACAACCTTTCCATAGGAGCACGAATCAGCTGATTACTTCTCGTCAACCTTATGATTTATCCAATTTTTGTGGTCATTTGGCATTCGAGCAAACTTGCTCCGTAAAATTTCCTTTTTTGGAATTTGATGAGTGCTAGTTGCACTGCATATTTCAAGGCTTAGGGGTGCATCTGTAGCCAAGATAATGGACGGTGACAAGTTTTTCAAAGACATTTAGCGGAAAGTGGCTGCAAGTTTTGACCAACCTAAATTTCACCACATTCGTCATTGTCGCCACAGCCCTCTTCTGTTTGCATAAAACTGCACGATCTTTTGACATAGTATTAAGCAGTGTGATTTGCACGTAATATCAAGATTTTGATCCGTTCTATGCAAAACAGAGTAAGATTTAGCAAAATTTGGGAGTGGCTGCAACCTTTTGGCCAGCAGTGTATTTACCAGTGCGTCACTCACTCTTTGGAGAGATTGAAACTAAGTATGCTGTCGTCTTTTTTCTAGTTGCATTGATGCCATTATAAGGAGCAACTTTGTCCAATGACACCAGCAAGTGAATGCTATAGAGCGGCCTCAAGCTTGCCTTGTTATCTCTTCAGTAAAACTATGACGTGCATGAGCGCCACTACTCCTCTCGCACTATAGCTGAGAGGAAGACCTATCTTTAACATTGAAATGAATACGTTTTTAATCCTCATGAGATCGCAGCATAGTAACACATCATTTATGCATATACTGCGCAAACTGTTGCAAATTGGGTTTTTTTACAAAAGGCGTCATGGCATCTTGTTTCCCATATACCGCCGCTCACAAAAGCTGGTGCAGGTGCCGTATTTAAAAATGACATTTTATTAGTCTCAGCGACATACAAGTTTTTTCAAAAACAAGGTCTTCAACAACTATCAAAGTAGGGCATGATCTCGGAAGAAAGCGTATAATAAAAAGAATTGAGGATTGCTACATGTACATGGCCCGTGTCAATGCCGAGTTCGCACATCTGAGCTGCAAGGCTTTCGCTTGAGGTTGCACTAAATGCTTCTAATGACGCTGATGTAAGCCACTGCGTTTATGCTTCGAACAGCAATGTTGACGCAGCACCGCCCCCTTGGTTGGTGAGAATTTAGCAAGAGTATCTAAATATGTGTGTCAAATTTGTTGCATATGAAAAATACCAATTCTAGACGAGTTACTCGACCAGTAAACTTATATCAATCTTGGTAAACGCTCAGACATTTCACAATGGTTTTGTTATTCAATAACGAATATTTGCTAGACATTCCCGAAAAATTTGGTTTGGGAGAGGACGGCGGAAATTTATGTTGAGAGGGCTTGACGCTAGCCATGGCTTCCGAAAATTTTTGGAGATGCTCTTCAACTTTTTGGTTTTGAACCCAGAAATTTTCGAAATAGGGGTATGGAGGCAAGACTCAAAAGACTCACAAAGCATCCTACTATAATAACGCGCTAAGGCTCCCGCCAGAGCGCCGAAGTCATGCCAGCGCTACGCCAGCATTTCGATCGATACACGTGTATTTCGTTGGGGACGTCAGCTAGCCCCGCCCCAACGAAATACACGTGTATCGATCGAAATGCTGGCCTAGCGCTAGCATAACTTCGGCACTCTGGCGGGAGCCTAAGGCCGTCTGTTTTTTTGTGTGTCTGTGTGTCTGTGTGAAAACCTGTCTGTCACGAAATTCATAGAGGAAGCTGCAACTAAACTATCGGGCTGCAATTTTGCATAACATACCGTGCCAGTGTGTAGGCCCACCATGCACAAGGACAAGCCGGTTCAATAAGCGGGTTCCTCAAAATCTGCGCGTCAAACGGGTTCACGCGCCTTTTGGCACGCGAAACTGGGTCGCTAATTCGACTTTTTGAAGTTATAATTTGCCTGACAGGTAACGCGCGCCATAAATTCTGGTTCAGAAATGCTCAAAAAGTTTGCTTTTTTGCGAAAACAGAGCCAAAAAGTGATGAACGCGTTAGATAGTCAGTTTCGCAAGGTTTATTTTGAAAAAAACTGAAAAGACTTTTGCACTAAAATGTAGCCCAAGGTGTCTATTATCCTTATGACAATTATCAAACTAAAATAAATTCAGTAATCCGTTCAAATTCGCATTTGTTTCCTTGCAACAAGTTTTTTTTTTCTCAAAATTACCAATCTTACATGGAGATGCTTTATGAATGGACAGTTGTTTACGATTCATTTGTGATGCTCTCATCGGGTGGTGAGTTTCAAAGCCATTCTCATGCGAGCATGAGGAAGGCATACGATAGGGAGCCAGTGCGAACCTCCGCGAAGCGGAAGTGACGCATTGGTAATTTTATAACACACTAATTATGAATTTTGATAATTTTGTGACATATTCTAGGCGGAGCTTTTTCTCTCCGCTACTGTGTTAGTGTATCCCTAACAGAATTGATTGAGTTTCAAAAGGCTACATCGGTCAAGATCAGTTTAGCAACGAGTAGCATAATAACTTCATTTTTGACGCTGATCCTGAAGTTTCTAGACGAGAGTCAATTTTTGGCCACAGCCAATTTTTTGACAGTGACTGTAAGGTCCGAGCGTCAACAAATCGAAAGGAGAGGAGCATTACGAAAAAAGCGCCGATTATTGCACATGTCTGTATTAGATTTGACATGTTGTTTGCGTCAACAATATCTTGCTTGAGTAACCAGCTGCTACCACAAGATTTTGTGCGGCCATCAGTATGCGTGTATGTGCAGCGTCGAACTAACTTCACTAATGGTTCAGAAATGTACGGGGATCGTTCTAAGGCTCAGTTCGACTTGGAAAAGAGAAAAAATGACTATGGAAGGATTTTGCGATCTACTTCAATGGAGCATACGACTTCTAGCAGTCGTGGACGCGTCTACCTCGCTACGATTGCGTTTCAGCATAGGGACTGTGCAAATCCTTGGTCGTTGCCGCCCATCTGGTCTCTGAATCCTAAGGCGTATGGACTTTTTTAGCGGGTTATGCATCGTTGCACTCAATCGCTGCAGCACTTCCACGATTGTAGCTCGACTATTGCAAGGATTGATCAAAAGCGTCACTCGTTCATTGCAGAAGACATTGAGCTCTACTCACAGCATAAACATTTATTTATGACAAAAAACATATAAATATCAAGCAATGATAGTGGTTCTGAAAATACCATTCTTAACATATTTATGTCCCGAAACTTTTTCGATAACTATTTGAGTTTTGCAGAGAACAATTGCTGAGGCAAAGGCTGAAATTGTGGATAGTCTTTTGAGGATTCAGGTACAGCAATTTACCAAACGCGCCTTTCATCTCATTTTACTTACCGCAGGAACACTACAATGAAATTAACAGAATGCGAAATGAAGATCGTGCCAAATGGAAATCACTTAACAAAAAAGTTGAAATACTTGAAGCCGTGGTAAGATTATTGGTAATAGGGTCACCAAAATTTTATTTGTTATTATATTAGCCGTTCTGTTCAGTCTTCTCGCTCGTTCAGTATTTCCCGCCATTCCTTCCTTACCTTCGTTTTGAGTTAGGGGTTTTTTGGAAGAGCATCTAAAACGAGTAATTTCCAGCACTTCATTCATGATCTCTCTTAACAGGGAAGAATATTTGTTGACCCCGGCCATTCATATTGGTTTGCACATCAAAAATGCGCCTTTTAAGGCTGGTTCGAATACTTTTCCGCAACCGCGAAACGAGAATGTGGATGAACTTATGATTAATATTTTCGAAAATAATTTGCACTACTGCGGAGGGTGAAGATCAATAAAAAATTTTCTTCTCTCTTCAAATGCTGAATATGGTTTAGAGAGGTATAAATACAACGTTACACCTTTCAAGATTCTCCCTAATAGCTTTAAACAGTATAATAGATCAAATTGGGTGATTTCAACTACTTTAAAGTTTTTGAAATTTTCTACGAAAAAAGCTCATAACTGCCTTCAAATGATAGTTTAGCAGATTTTAAGCACAGATTTAGAATCAGCGTTTTGAGGTGCACCTTAAGGTATACATCGCATTCCAAATGGCCGGGGTCACCAGTATCCTTTCCTTCTTTATGATCGGAGGCTCATAAGTAGAACCTCATGCAGCAAGGGGGGGGGGGGGGAGAGAGAAAACACCACGGAGGGGGCGCAGCTATCTTTGAGGCACATGGTTTAAAGATTGAGCCAGACTGCGCTGCATACGCGGAGAACGCTGCGTACGCCGCGTACGCCGCGCAGTCTGATGCAACCCTAAAAAGCGATAGGAATGCAAGCGCAATCGGCTTTACCCCTCTTCCAAATCGCTTCGGTACACTGCGAAAGCGACCGTAGTCAGCCAAAAAGCGTACAGACTTTGATAGTGCGGGCGTCTACAAAATAAGAAAGGTGTTTCAGTAACTATCTTTTGCGAAAGAGACGCAAAAAACAGCTGCATAAGCCATAAGCTGATTTTTTTTCAAAAATACTAGGTCTGAGTCTTCATGAAGATGTCATAGGCATCGGTCATACCTCATCGCCGTGCGTCTAATTGCTACGACTGCATATAATCTTCCTTAGGCTAATACTTTGAAAGAACTGGTATGTATTGATAAGCTAATGAGAGCTATGCGCCTATGCACTTAATCCGCACTCGGTGGATTTTCAGACATCTGCAAATTGTTGGATCTATCGCCGCGATTCTCAAGAAGACTTTTGAGATATAATTGATGCAATATGCATCAAGTATAACTCTCAAATAGTAACAAAATGAATCTGATCTTCTGCGTTATTGTCGTACAGAGTTAACAATTCCAAATGGCGAAGATTTTGAAATGGGTATATAGTCGCTTACATTTCAGCCATGATGGCCAGCATCACCCTGTGTGTTTCAAGTAGAATTACCCATCGAGCTAGCAGAGGACTTGGAACGGTAGTCCTAATGGAGCTTCTCGATAAGCTAAAGATGATACTAGGATTACTGACGACTGTGCATAGCATGCTTGCATAATTTTGTAACTCCCATTGGTTCGATGTTAACAGTACTTAATTCCCATTATTTAGCGTATCCGGCCCCTTTAAGTGCGGCTTCAAATTGCTTCAGCGAAAAATACATCATCAGATTCGAATCTTTTAATGACCTACAATTACTCCGTTTCTTTTCCCTTTTTAGTTCAATCTAATGCCGCCCCCCCCCTCCTATTTCCAGCTCATACTGGGCCGTATGCATGAAAATCCTTCGCCGCTTCCTTCGCTGCAGCGACTTTCATAAATAAGAGCCCAAATCTCTGCAGCGTTTCTGTATGGAAATTGTATTCCTGCTGGCATTAACTTCGTAACACCTCATTCTCCACGTAGCAAAATATAAATAATTGATAGCGTCATTGATGGATTGTGAGAAAAAGGATGGATAAAATGATAAATTTGAATCCTGTCCCGCGCAGGGTTCAGAATTTTGTGATTAGACACATCTTTGATGAGACAATCTTTTTCTTAGCCGGCTTGTCGCATGCCCTTCAGTGGGGTGAACAGCTCCAAGGGCTGAAACCATTGAAAGAATGATCTTCCAAGTTAATGTCGAACCACGACTTTACCAAAGCTGTAATTCCTTCAATTTAAGTCAGAAAATCAATACTCCAACATAAGCGGCAGAAATCACCGTTGAAGGTAGCCTGAAACATCCGCCGGGAGTTAAAATGTGTGCAAATTTTCTAAATATATTTGTGTGCAAAGTTTCTATGTACATTTAAGCACTCTCCTGGTAGGAAAAATAGCCGTCATTGATTATAAGCACATATAAAAAAGAAGCAAAGTTGTTAACGGTTGAAAATGAAAAGCGCATCATCATAAGCTCGAATCGCCGACGTAGTAAAATACTTAGAAGGACTCGCTGCAGATTTTGCACAAAACATCAGAGTATAAAGGACTACTAATAGGAATAGTTAGCAGTATGCTAATTAGAGATATTTCATCGTAAAGACTTCAGAGCTAGGACCGATTAGCGCGTCGTGGTCTTGTCAAATATGCAAAACAGCTTTATTCTGAAATGACAATTCTAAAAATAAGGGTCGTGACTGAGTTAAGCAGCAAGTAGTAAAGAGAGTAGCACTCAAGAGATTGATTTATGACTATGATAAATATGAAAGCATCAGGTGATATATTAATCACAAGTAATTCAAAAGTGTTTTCATGTGTGATAGCAGCATTAGAGCAATGAAATCTAGTGGACATCTCGAAGGATCATCCAATTTCAAATTATGCATTTTAGAAAGCTAGAGCTTTGAAAGAAGAACGACAGCGTTTGCGAGATCTTGAGAGAAGCAAAGAGCGCGATGAGCTCCAAGCTAGTATGCTTTGTAACATACGTTCCTATGTAGCTTGCATAAGTTGCAATCAGATTTAATCCATTCAGATTTGTCAAAAGATATCATCATAACTCCATATGGAGCAAGCAAGGAGAAGATAGTATATCCAAAGTTAGTTGATGTAAATTTTTATCGGAAAGAAAACCGTGGACGACAGTATAAAACTCACCTCCTTGTTTTCGCAAATTCACTTCACTATATATATTCAAAGATTTATAAGACTGGGCTTTCATGCTTTATCTATGCTTTGTACTTTCACTCACATCAAGTTTTTTAGTCTTAATAAACAACGTGAAGAGGCATCAAAGAAGAAATCTCCGCCGTTAACAATGAAAACGGTAATATCGTCTGGGTTTTGGTTAGCAATTTATCCTCCTTTGTTTCAGTCTTCAGTCCCTTCCGCAGACTATGGCAAATTTGAATTTAAACGAAGATTATCTAAGCTTCCACCATCCAAACTAAAGCGAGCGAAACGGAAGAAAATGCTGAAGCTGGATATAACTCAAGAAAGTGCTGAATCAGCAGAAAAAGATAAAGACGTAAAAAGAAGTCTCTAACTAATCTTTCTTTGATTTCCTTCAATGAGGGTATACAGGAGGAGGACTTCTTCGCACTTGGAGAACTCCCGGATGGAAGCGGTTCAGCCAGCGAAGAATTGTTCGTGCAAGTTGATAGAATGATACAGGCAATATACCATTTTATTGAAAACAAATCAATGGGCAAATCAGAATTATAGGAAAGCGAAAAATCTAAACAACGCACTCGCCGAAAAGAACCGGAAATGGACAGAGTAACTGCGAGCAAAGCAAAAGTCGTAACAATGCCAATACGCATGGAAATAGTGAGTTTATTTTCTAACGTCACTCCAAGTTTATTTTTAGAAATCTTGGCTGATAATTTTAACAGCATAACACCATAATCTTTTCAGAGCCAATCAAATGAGGATGCTCGGTTCTCGGGAGAGTTTCCAGCGCAACGGGGATCCAAGGTAAGCTGAACTTAACATGACTTAGCTTGATTGATTAGCACTGGTTTGACTAGCATGGAATCCCCAATACTTTGAGGAGAATAGGCAAATTTGGAGTAGAGAGGCATGTCGGGAAGTTTTCCAGTAGGCTTACGAGATTCGCAGTGAAATTACAATTTTGGAGTCATCCTTCCAATTTATCTTCATGAAATTGGCTTTTGCCAAATTCTAAAAAATTATTTTGGGCTATGCCGGCACTCATGATTCTACAACTCATCTCCGTAACAGAGATCATAGTATATTGCAGAAAAGATTTGGTCTCATTTTTGTGGCAGCTTTTAATGTGATACTAGTTGACTTACCCGGCTTCGCCCAGCCCTGTCATTATTATAGGCTGTACCAACCGGCATCGGTTATGCGACGTCGCGCCTGCGGCACTTGCGACGATGCGATGTGACACGTGCGAACTCTGCCACGCGTTAAGGCACCTCGCATGCGACGGTGCGTCGTCGCAAAGCATGCTGCGCGGGACCGATGCCGGCTGACTGATACAGCATATATATTCGTAATCAGCATGCTCGATTACCCTCCTGTGCCAACTCCCAGCCCCGTAGCTCAAATTTTGCAAAAAATCGATAAAATCGATATCGATCCTTGACGAAAAGTAGCCTATGACCAGGGTTGAGCAAAAGGTGAGGCAGAAGTCCTTCAAAAACGACCCCCCTCCCCTGTGAAGGCCCCTGAACGACCCTCCGCTTCACCTCCAAGTCCTTAGGGTGTTATATTTTGAAGAAGACCAGCCCTCACTGCAGGTTTCTATTTTTTGAAAGTCTGTAGGCCCGACTTTCTGCGATTGCACAACCACGCGCAACTTGACGGCAAGTTTTAGATCTGCATAGTCCTCTTTTCAAAGCTATGATTTTCACAGGGGTGGAGTGTTTGGCTTTAAATTTTCAATATAACAAGAAGAGGCTTTGCGCTCAATACTCATAACAAAAAGGGGCGATTTTTGAATGTTGAAGGCAAGTTAAGGGGGTCAGGCGCAACCCCTCAAAAGCTCAGGCGGCCTGGCCTTTTGAGGGGTTGCGCTTGACTCCATTAACTTTATATCCGAAAAACCTTTTCTACCTAAGTTTTATGTGATGCGCTAACTCAATCCTCGAAGATTCCACAGTGAGTGTTTGAGCTTGATTCGACTTGTTTCGGCCTTGTGCTAATCCGAGAACTTAAAGCACTCAACGTGAAGAGCGCGCCGGTTGGAATTTTGGCAGCACTTCTTACTTCACTATTTGAAAGTGATATGAAGTCCGATTTGTCGCATAGACTTGTTGAGAACATGACTTTATTATGAGTATACAACAGCTGACTTTTCTCACTTCTGAAACCAAGTTGATCACGTTTGAAAATCCCGCTTATTGGGGGTTGAGAAACACTAGAAACTGCAGTAGGTAATGGTTTGTAGAGTGCATAGAGGTAGTTTGACATGCTAATTATGGAAATGATACCCATTTCACACAGCAAGCTCCCTTGTTTACCTCATATGTCAAGGTAAAAGAGAAGAATATTTGAATTTTGGCTGAAACTTCCATTGTGGAAACAATCAATATGCTGTTTATGACCGTTATTCCTTCATGTGATCGCGATATCCACCGGAATAGCGCGTTTCTTCTTCACCTTCACAGTACCTCCCCAACTTAATAAATTCGATTCTTAATTATGACCCCCCCCCCCCTCAGTCTTACCCTCAATACGATCCCCCAGGTCGGGCGCGCCTGAACCCCACGCTCAACCCTGCCTATGACACCCGCCGGGGTCCGAAGTGTATGTGTGCCAAGTTTGGTCCGGATTGGTTCGGAAATGGAATTTTCTATTCGGAACATACGTACACACAGACAGACAGACAGACAGACAGACAGACAGACAGACATACATACATACATGCAGACATTCAGCTTTATAGATAAGATTTGAGCTTTGCGATTCAAACTTCTTGCCACAAACAGATATGATAAGTCTAGATATGTACTGCAAACTAAGACAGGATCCTCTTCCTCCCATTCCAGTCTGCTGTGATTTGCATGCCCAGTGGCAGCAAAAATATCTTTAGAAAAAGAGGGGCAGGAGGGGAGTGGCGCGACAGAAAGTTTTCAAAGTGAAAGAAGGTGGTTGATCTCAATTTCTTTCCGACATTCTTCCCAGGTATATCGCAAACATGTAACTCTAAACCTCGAGATAAAGGCGTTAGCGGAGCTCGAAAAAAGAATGATGTCTATTGTTTATTAACTTCCATAGATATCATCTCAATCAAAAATTTACAGGAGTCGACATATGCTCCGTACCGACATTCGGCAGGTCAGTCTATAAATGCGCACAGCTCTTGGCGATAAGCGGAACTTTTAGAAGGTAATAAAAGTGAGAAGAGCGGAGACAGAAAAAAACAGAGAAAACAGTGACAAGTTTTCAGCAAGGTTATCCGAAAAATTGTATAAGTACTTATGGAAGATTTAGATGAACTTTTGCTTTACCATGATTCCTATAGAGCTGTGAATATTTGTGCGGAAAACCACTACTGATACGAAATCTAGCAAAAAATCGATTATGATTCTTTTTCAATTTCCAAGCATAATGCAAGATTTCTATTTCATGTATATCTCAAACTCGGGCCAAAAAATGTCCCCATTGATTGCCCTTTTGACTTCGGCAAATGGCAAGAAAATGCAATCGACGCATATTCTCGAGATCAAGGTGACAATCTATGTAATAAGCCCAAAGATCGGTAAGTGAAATTGTTTTACCTGTGACTTTGGTTAGCAAGATACTTTTCGAAAATTCGAGAAGCTGGCAACATTGCCTATAACTCTCATACTTGGAAGAGCAAAATCAAGCTTAGCAAAATTTTACACCATGCTCTTTCAGTAAACTGTTAGCCATTTCTGACAATGACGTATGTCAAAGTCAGACCATTAGATAGCCTCGCACACAGCATAGCGCTGCAGATAATCAGATGGCAGAATACGCTGAAAGTTCACGACGAACGAGAAAAATTGAGCAAAGACCATTAGGCATAATGGACGGTTGATATCTAAAGATGAAGGTGATCTATAACAAATGACATCACTGAGATGCAATCACCAAGAAAAAATCAACAGAGCTTGTTATCAGATAGTTGTTGCAGGATCCATTTCTCAAGCAGCAAATGGTATTCACTTTATATACATACATTCGCTGATGTAGCTTATCTTGACTGAATCTAGAGAGCGGATATCAGCATTGGCAACATAGTAAGCAAGACCTGAAGAATTTTGCAAACGGCATGAGGGAAAAACGAGCAACTTACGGAGAAAACAAGGCCAGCTTAGACCGCCTCTAAGCTTCAAAGCCACAAACTACAATTACCCGGTAACGGACCAGGAGCTTCGAGCACACTTTTTCTGGCACAACCGTTCTCTCGGCGCTCTGTCGCACAGCCAGGGCTTGGGTCAAACAGCATTTTCTGAACTCCGCTCCGCGAGCTCTACACCAGCTACAAAGCGCATGAGCGCAGTCGAAGATGATAGGACCCAGACAAATACCAGACATATAAATAATTGGTTGGATTCGAATCTACCTGGATGTGAACGCAGCCTTCCCGGAGACAGCCAAAAAGATCGTGGATGTCCAAAGCAAGGGCAGGAACACCTGGAAACTTCTGCGCTGAGGAACGCACACCTCTTGAAGACGGACCATGCGACCAGGGAAGGACCCAAACTATAAAGGGCGATCCTCTCTATATTATAAGCCCGAAACCAAACATCGCGACAACTAGGTTGGTCTGCTTCTGTGTACGTTGTTGTTTGTTTTTGAAAAGACGCCAGTTGCAAGACAGTTCCTGAACGTTGGGACAAGCGGCGATGTGATGGTGAGGATAAATGGATGCAGACGTCGAACGCGGGAGAGTAGTACGACACACGCATAGTGCACTCTATTGACGCATTTGCTGTGTTGAAATGTGGAAGCGCATACCAAGTGTGTTGAAATATGAGACGGGGATTACCCTGCTCTAGCAGCAGTGTGGTAGTGAACCTCCTAGCTAAACGATAACAGAAGATCGCAGCGAGATAAGTTCCACAGACCTGCAAATTGCTCCCAAAGTGGTCCAGATATTATGGTCGGCCGGGACTCTGCCCACGGCGGCCCCCTTCAAGACTCGTGCATGTGCAACCGAAAGCTTGCAAAAAAGCTCATTTTTGCCACTCTGTAGCGCTGCGAACCTCATGCGTGAGCCGCAAAAACCAGGAGAACCAAGAATTAAGATTCTGCCGGAACGCTGCCTTCGAGCATCGCATTATAGAGCCTTGAGATAATTATAAAGAAATGTTCAAAGTTGGAAAACTCAAAAAAATTTTGTTTGACATTTCTTTTACCACATATCTATCAGTAGTGCTAGATCGATATGGTGATCCCAGGGCTTACTAGTCTTTAAAAATCTCTGCATTTTACGTGTATCACAGGGCACTATCTCTAGTGTGTTTTTTCTGCGAATGCTGCACATGTGTTATCTCTACTCTACTTTCAGTCAATATAGCTCCTCCGCATATTTTATGAAAATTCCATCCATGATAGCTTACTTGTATAATGCGACATTACTCAGCTTGACAACATAGTGCAACGTTCAAAATCTGATCTATCTTGCATCTAAACCTTTGCTTTAAACTCAGTTTTTCGTCGAAATAAAACAAAAAACATCGACTACCGAGTCTATAAAGAAGCTCTTAGAAACTAATGAAAATTAGCACCATCTCATTACAAATGATTAACTAATCTTTTCCTGTGAATAACAAATATTATTTGCTCCTATTTATCCCTTTTCTCAAATTTTATTAGGTTGTTACATAAGTTATGTTACACTCTGCCTGCTTACAGTGAACACTATAAAATAACGATATTAGATTATTTTGCTGTTTTCATTTTTTCGGTACGCCACAAAGCTAGCAAGTGAGAGTGCCATTTCCATGAAGAGGTTCAGGTGTCTTAAGCTCCCTCTCATAAAGCTATCTATGGCAGCTAACGAGATGACAATCATGATGATGAATAAAAACTCACATCGTCTCCATGGGGAGTTCTTTACAAACTCCTCTTATCTTTCAACATTTGAAGGCTGGACAAAGATCAGCTGGTAACTTCATTTTTCCAGAAGCCTTGGTAAAATTTGAGCTAGCGTCTGTTGCAATAAAAATCCCTCAAAAGAGTATACTTCCAACATCCCTACACATTGAAATAGAAATTTCCTTCTTCGTGTAAATTTCTTTGATTTGGAGGAGGAAAAGAGAAATCTTCTGAGTAAGGGGAACTTTCTATCAGCCTTTCCCGGAAAAAATAATACAACATGATTGATATCTATAAATCATAAAAATAATCCACTTGCTGCAAATAAAGGAGTTACTTTCGCAAATTATAACACATATGAGCCGCTTTCAACATTTCGTTATCTCCTTTTTCCACAGCCTGCTACTGCATATTTCTTCTCACCTGATTCGATTTTTGTATGAGGCTTGATTTTTGCACAAAGAAATTCGTCATTGAATGTGTACGTATAACAGCTTTATTCGATGTTGCCATGCTGCACTTTTTAGTGCAAATCATTTATGTTTGATGAAATTTTTTATGATAGTGATCGGCGCAAGGTAAAACGCATATGATGGTTTTTGCTAATATTGAGTTTCCAAAGTTGTTTCCAAATCATCAAAAGCCATGAAGGCTTGCTATCTTTGAGCGTTACAATGGGATAAGAACATTTACTAGACTGTGACAAGCAGATACGGCTGAATTTCGATTTTTAAAGAACTTTCTTCGTCACAGTAGCGTGAAAGATTAGGGACTTTCAAGACTACCCTTCCTTATTTTTCGAAAACTTTGAAAGTGGTGCAACAAATATTTGAGAGATTTTGGTTATTCGGCTGTCAAATTTCTACTATCTGTTGGCTACGCTATGCTTTGTCAAACTTTGCGTGCTGGTCTTCGTTCTACGTTGTGGGATTTCTATTCAATGTAATCCAAGTTCATCTAGAAACCCTAGCCAACTTCTTAATGTAAGGTCGAATACATAGTTATAATCTTCCATGCACTTCAAAATTTGGAAGATTTTTGCTATTCTGCTCCAAATGCAAAGTGTATGATAGTTATTTTTATCGGGTGTTCTCAAAGGTTTTTTTTCATTTTGATTTTTAGTGCAACAACTCGTGCGCTCCTCAATTCTAATTAGGAGCAAGGGTAGCTTCCGGTAGAGCAAAGCAATCTCTACAAAGTGACCTATAAGTGTCCTCACCAGTTTCAGTACACCTCAAGCTAGAAGCCCAAACTGAAGCATTTTTGGATTCGAAAAATTGAAAAAGTTTTATATTTCCAAAAAAACTTGCCGGATCTCCCATTTGCTTACGCATCTATACTTTCCATTAGAGATTCGTATATGCCCTTGCTAGATTTTTCTGGCATACAAACCGAGAAAACTAAAATTTTTGATCTTTAAAAAAAGCGATGCTATGCCGTTTCCACATAAGTAAAAGTATACCACAAACTCTAAACGTATAATCGCAATTTTCGGCTCTTTACAAACTCTAGTTCCCGAAGAATGTTGCTTTTAAGATGAAGGACGCTTGCAAGAGAAGCTATTTTTCCATTTTTAAAAACTCGGAGACTCTAGTTTTCTCATTTTCTATCCTAAAAAAATCTATCAGCTGTATACATGAATGTCTAATGCGGAGTGTATATGCATGAGCAAGTGGGAGATCCGGTGTGTTTTCTTTGGACGAAGATTGAAAACATTTCCAATGTTTTGGGCATCAAAAACTTCGAAACTTCTTCTTCTAACCCGAGGTGTATCGAAGCTAAGGCGATTTCTCAAAGTATGTTATTTTATGGGGCTTGCTTTGCTCTATCGAGTGGTACGCTGCATCCTAAAAGCAAGGAGCACATTGCCGACCTTGCCAAGAATACTTGGATCAATACCATCAATCCATGTGTTTCACTTACACCATTATATAGAATAGAACACAGTTGTTGTCAATGTAGTCAACAACGAAGATTGTGAAGGGAGAACTGCACCGATTTGAAGTGTTACAGCTGCATTACATTGTCAGTAAAGTTTACAGCACATTGGATCACCATATACTCGCAAACGAAATACATTTTCTCAAATAAACCAAGAAAGCTTAGAGTGCCAACTAAAACTGCTCGGACATTGGACGCATCATCAGTCCTCATGAAAGATCATCGTTGCGGCTGGTGGGAGGTGCGTCTTTAACTTATACCACTTTCTGGGCCCTGATGTACAGCTAACTTGTACTAGGAATTTTGACAGTTTGTATACTCCACTTACATGACGCTTCTTATTGTAATTTTAACGTTCATGCTTTGATCATTGCTGTGTTCTATAGCTTTTTTGCTTCCTGAAAATTCATGTTTTCATCATTAAAGGCAGTGGATCGGCATAACTCAACATGTCAGGATTTCAACGCGGTAGGTTCCTTCTGGCCCAAGTATGAAAACAGTGCAATCCCTGTTGTACAGCATGCCTTCCCTGCGGAGAATATTGTTCTCAAACTTACACGCGCAGGCCAATCTTACACGCGTCCGGACGAGTTAGCAATTTCCTTCTCACCATTGGAGGCTGCCCGCCGCAGTGCTATAACCATTGAGTCCCGCAACGATGCAGCGTCATCAGCCTTGCTCCGCTCGTCCAATTCAAAAGGGAAGGCCATTCGCTCGTTCTCGCTGTTTTCAAGCTCTCAAGTGTGGATTTTCATGATCAGCGTATTAAATAACCCCAGGTGAGCGAAAATTTGACTAGGTTGAGATTTGCCGAGCCACTGCCTTTAACTCTGTTTATCCACTATCCATGTTGCCTATAAAACCTCCATAGGCTAAAATGAGAGCCACTCATTGTTGAATATCTGGTCATTAAAGATTGAGCAGCACTATTTGTTCACCAGAAATTTGAAGTGTGGCGATTACTTCTTTAAAGGCAGTAGCTCGGCAAAACGGATCCCCGTAGATTCTGGTAGTGTTAGGTAGTGAACCGTCCAAGTACTTTGTAGCTCCAATCCTACCCTCCAGCTCATGCGCTAAGCCCTAACTACGCACTTCAGAACTCCTACCAACCTCGCCCATTTCTACCAAGTGGACGTCATTGGTGGAAGTTTGAAGGGCGTTTTCGGGACTCAGCACTTAAATTGGAGGGTGAGGTTGAAATTACGGTGTACTTGGTCGGTCTACTACCTAAAACTACCAAAATCTGATAGAGGTCCATTTCGCCGAGTCACTGTCTCCATAAATCTTACCTACAGTTATGGTAACCAGCCGGACAATGATCAAGTTATTCCAATCAAAGCTTTTTGCGAGTGCAGTGGGTGAATACACAATCTGACACATAGGAAACATTCCAAGCCCTTACCGATCGTGTTTGCAAGAAACTGCTCTAAAAACGGTTGGTCATTGTTTGAAAGCCGACAATCTATTAAACTCCAATTTGTGTGATCACACAGAGCCCGCCGAGATCGCGACAGATATCTGCCCACCTCAATACCTATCCTGCAAATCTCAGACAATCGGTGCCGTAGTCGCGCCGGACAGTCGAAATCTGGCAGAGCCGCGCCGGACCCAATTGACCAATGAGAGCGGAGCGACGGGGCGGTCCCTTCTTGTAGGTCACAGGACGTCACCGGCAGGCGAGAGTGGGACCCTGCTCCGGATCTGCTCCAAAGGTACGCCATTTCTGCTCCGGAGGTACGCCAGATTTGGCAGAGCCGCGCCGGAGAGATTTGCCCGCCGCGAGTCCTCCAGATTTGGACGAGCCGCGGAGCAGAAAATCGGAGGGGTTTGGGACAGAAAATGGGAGGTCTCCGGAGCACGAAAGCGGAGGGCCCCGGAGCAGAAAATGGGACACTTCCGAAGCAGAAAATGGCAGGACTCCGGAGCACAAATGGGAGGGCTCCGGAGCAGGCCGCGTATCGATTTGGCGCGTAGCCAAGCAAACGTCTAACTCCACGGTGATGAGTCCTCTGTTTACGCTCTTTCTTCATATTTTAGTCGTTGTTTCTTTGATTTTGTTGTTTTTCCGCGTTTCTTTATCGTTTTTTTTCTTTTCCGCGTTGCTCTTCGTCGCGTTGGCGTTTATGTCATTGTAAGTTCCTCGTTTTCAGGTTTATGTTTCAAATTTTCCGCGGATGCACTCAATCACTTTCAGTGTTTGGCTCTTTTCGACTTGCTGAGACATCGTTGACTTTTGATGGAGTGGTTTTTGTGATTAATTTGAGCTCGTTCCGAACATTATCTGTGGCTTTTCGGGCAGATGCATGCTAAGGTAAGCGTTAGGGTTTCTAGGCAACTTTATATCTGATATCTACCGGACATAACATCTGAATCAAAGTCCTATGAGCCACTTATCGAGGTGTATTTTTAGCGATTTCTTGTTCTCGCTCATCTCTTGTTTCTGGCATCATCCATATGGCTGATGTGGAATGTTGGTGCAGTCGAGTTTGCAGGCCTACCTGTGCCAGGCCTTGATGGACTTCTACCTTTTGATGTGCCTGCTCGGAAGCTTTGCGTGAAGGAGACAACGATTCTCTGTGGGTAAACCTTTTAAATGTCTAATCATGTTTAATGTCTTATATCTCTCTCAGATTACTAGATCGTTTCGACGTCAATCAAGTTGATGCTTTGTCAGAATTTACTCTTTCATCTATAATTCGGAGTTCTTTAATGTTATTCGTTCTTTTTTTTTCGCGGAAATAGGGGGTGCAATTCGATTACGATCTAACTCCAGAGGATTACAGTATAAGTCAGTCACCCTGAGGATGTGCGAAAGTTAGAAAGTTAGACGTACACTTCGAGTCAAAATCTCCTATAACAGACTTTTCTCCTGCAGTGCCACGCTGTGAGATTTTGGAAATGAGAATGAAGGAGTATTTCAGATAGGTCTGCAGTGGGGAGGGGTGGGTCGTAGATAAGACTAGCTACATGAATTTCCGAGGTGCGGCTTCACTGATTGCCTTAATTAGAGGCACTGGTGTCGTAATGTCGTTCTGCTCGACCACAATGACGAAAGTTTCAAAATTTCAAGAATTAGCAGTTTCAAGAATTTTCTTGCAATTCTCAAAGCGACGCATCTTCATGCAGAATATTGCAAGTAAATCTCACCTGCATAAACTTCACGCAACTCATCACACTTTAGTTATATACAGTCGAGTAGATTTCCAGCTTAATATAGTGTGCTTGCACAGAAGGTGAAATGCGGTAAAACTTGCGCGTGAAGAAGTAGCCATGCCAGTACTGCCGGCATTTTGCGCCCGCAATTGGCCGGCGTCTCAGTCGAAACTATCTGTTTACGCGCAAATTTTACCGCATCTCACCTTCTGTGCAAGCACACTATATTAAGCAGGAAATCCACTCGACTGTAGATGGGTGTCAGCCAGTGGCGTACCCAGGATTTCGGCTCGGGGGGGGGGGCGCGACAAAAAAATTTTTCTAAAGAAGCGTTAGCCACGCACTCCGAAAAAATTTTTTTTACAAGGCTAATTTGAATTTTTAAAAATTTTAAAAAATTGTATTAATTATTTACAAAATTAAACAAGTCACTTGCACATTTTTATAACCCATATGAGTAACTTTCAAAAATTTCGCGACCCATTCTCGGGGGGGGGGGGGGGCGCCCCCCCCGTTCCCCCCCCTCGGTACGCCACTGGTGTCAGCAAGGTTGGCACGCAAATTTTACAGTCGGTTGTATGGCTCTAGCCATTGGAAGAACTTTTCAAATGGTCTTATTATGTGTATAACTGCCGCCAAGCACTTACAATTTCAGATTTCTGTCACATGCGGATATGAAGCCATATCTAGGCACCTCTCGAACCATTGCATCTCTTCTCGGCTACATGTACTTTTTCAGGTGCGTCAAACTTCATTTCCTTCTACTCATTTTCTCAAAATCATGACCGATTTTGATACTAGCTCAGTCTTCCTATTCGCGTTATTACCCAGCTGTTGCAAGCTTATTTCTTTTTCGTACTCTCTGACAGAAAAAAATTCTCAATTGTCTTTGACTTCTCATGACAGATCATTTACTACAAAAAAATTGGGAAATTTAACTCTCTGATCAACTTTGCAAATAAACATTTTCTTGTTAGCACGGACGCAAGCCATCTGAATATAAGTCTTTTGTCATTGGCTCCTACTTCTCCCACAAAATTCATGTATCCTATGACCCAAGCCTATTCTAAACTGTAAGATTTGATCGAATGTTGCAGCACTCTGATGGGTTTAGCGGTCATGCGAGCTATTGATGGTGTCTGGCAACATGGTGGTGTTTCGCCACTCTTCTGCGTTAATCCTGCACTGTTTCGTCTGCCATTTCTATTCAGTGTCGTAAGTATCTGTACTATGTTCATGATACTCGCTTCCAGTGGTTTACAGCTCTCGCTAGCAGGAATGTTGTTTTTGTGGTCGGTGCGCAGCGGTAGAATGCAATTGTACGAACTTGAGCTTGCTCCAGCCAACTATAGTTTCATTCTCCTCATCATAGGTCCGTTGATTTTGATATCCATATTCAAAAGAAAACTCAAATCCAACCTATACATTTTATATTGAATACCTTTGCGTCTGCCGTATAGGACAGGTTTAGAAATCCTTGATAACTTGTGAATAGAATTAGTTTCAGTGTGTCACTTACTGCATTTTCTTCCTCGTTAGCAATAAGCTGAAGATCACACGATGATCAGCCAGTATCCCATTTCCTAAACGGTAGGCGTTTGCTTTCGCTGTTTTCTCTAGCAGTACACTCAGGGCGAGCGGGGTGGCTTTCAGTAGCATCATCAATGCTTTTCTTCACTGTTGTGGTGTCTGTCTCATATTACATCGTGTACCTCATTTACCGAGACCTATTCTGTGCGAGTTTCCTCATTGTTTTGCGCTGCAATGCAGATATCAGCACTCAAAGGTTTTGTGACAAAAGGTTTTGCGCTGTGTTTTTCCAAGCAATCTAACTCACTACACTCACTTCGCTTATGTTTTCGCTTAGGGTACGGCCATAGGTTGCCGGCAACTGTTGTCTTTGTTGTCCGTTTTGAAGCTGCTAAGTTTTGTTTTGCAATTTGCAGGAGATTGTTTGCAGTTAACTTGAAATAAATGTCTTGTCTCTTCATTCTTTCTTCTATCTTCTATCCACAAACGCTAGGGGTGAGAGGGAGAGGGTAAAGAACGGGGTTGAGGGTTGCGCTGAAGTCTTACCCGGGGGGGGGGTCGTATTCGGCTAATTTGGGTGGGGTTTAGAGACAAAATTGGGGTTTGGAGCTTAATTAGGGCTAATTACAGTATGCCGCGGCAGACTTGCGGAGCAGAAAATCGGAGGGGTCCGGCGCACAAAATTGGGGGGCTCCGGGGCACAAATGGGAGGTCTCCGGAGCACAAGTGGGAGGTCTCCGGAGCACAAAATGGGAGGGCTCAGGAGCACAAAATGGGAGGGCTCCGGAGCAGAAATGGGAGGGTTCCGGAGCACAAGTGGGAGGTCTCCGGAGCACAAAATGGGAGTCCTCCGGAGCGCAAATGGGAGGTCTCCGGCGCATAAAATCGGGGGGCTCCGGAGCACGAGTGGCAGACCCCCCGCTGGGGAAACCCCGCGGCCCTGCCGTTTCTGCGCCGGAGGGGACCGTTCGACTGTCTGAGAATCTTCTACACTTACCACTTGATGAGTCATTTAGTTATAATATGTTGTATTTATCAGATTCGAGTACAACAGAATGTTGTCTGAGTTCAAAAAAAGCCATTTAGTTGCCGCATATCGTCTTGCATATCTGTGTCCATGTAAACTTCTCCAGTGCCTGAAATACACGCTTTACAGGTAGAACCAAAAGATGCTCAAATACCTTCGTGGTTTTCTGGTCAGGTTTTTCATCATCCTCACAGATATATTTCGGTACTTTGGGGTCCGTCTTGCATTTCTCAAACAGTTCCTCAAAATAGGATTTTCAGACAATGAAAATGAAAGTATGATAAACATACCTTAACATTTATCTTAGCATTTGGATCTTTATTTAAATTTTTTAAGTATGGGCATCCTTCAGAACAGAAGCGCTTTTTTTCTGCATCATCGTCAATTTTTGCAGCGATGCTCAAGTGGAAGAAGACGAAAACGAAGAGAAGAAACTTCATAGTATGAATATTCCATCTAATCAAGTCTTTTATAGAGCTGCCGTATCGATATAAGATTGATCACAATTGGGCCAGTTGAAAACGTGTAAGAAATAAAGGAGCAGAAGAAAGTGCATAATCGTCCTCTATTAATCGGTTTTATTTGTATACTAATCTACTAAATGCGAAGGAAAGCGCCCTTCAAGATTACGACGTGCACCAACACGCATACGTATGCAAATTCACTAATACATGTCCGCACACAATGTACGTTCTAATTTTGATCTTCATTATAATGCTGGGAAGCAGTCGACTGCTAGCAAAAATCCTTGTTTGTGGAGAATGCTCTGACTTTCTAATTAACATTGAGATGTAAGAGCTTTCAACACATTCAAGACAATACGACAAACTGGTATGTCGTCCGTGCACTGCGCTCCACCATAATCGCCTCCTTAAACATTGCACGTCTACGATGAAATATATGGGATGTCGGCATATGTTTGGGGACAACTAGCGGGTTCGATTCTGATTTTGATTGTAAGGTTCATATGTAAAGTCGTGACGGCAGATTTCACAGCGGTCTTTGCGCCCACAGAGCGTAACACCTCATACAAAAGGCATCACCTCAACGCTCAGCTCGTCACTTCCACTGTCCAAGTACTATCATACCTAAGCAGAAAAATTAGTCGAATAGAGATTGAACTCAGGAAAATGCGGTTGTCGGGAGGTGCGTGTGTGTCGCGCGCGGTCACGCCATCGTCACGATTTTTCGAATGCCCTATACTTCCCGTACCTGCAGAACGCTTCTAGGGAAGAAGTTATGGGCTTTTATTTGAGAAATTTGCAATGCTGAAAGCAGACAGAACCATCAATGCCCAAGAATTTTGTGCTCAAACATACTTGGAACAGCTTATCCGTGTTCAGTTTCATGTTGAAACTTTTTCAAAGGCAGTGTCCGGGCAAAATGGGGGTTCTGAGATTCCTCTGCCATGTGAAAGTAGCCCCCCTGAGACACAACATCGCGCAACTGCGAGCATAAAACGTTCGACCTAAAGCAAGTATAACGACTGCAAATTGGGGAAACTTACGCCTTGGGGCGGGGTCCTCCGAGTTGTTTGAATTCCTGCCAGACGGCAGAGTACGTATGCCGCCACAGTTAAAAACCGTGCGCTCTTTGCAACCTCTGCGTCTTAGCCTGGCGGGGATCCCCAAATTTCGAAATGTGAGGACTTGGAAAATGCATGTTCTCGCCGTTTTCGCGCCTTCTGATGTGGATTTTCGGATTCAGCGTTGCGGATAACCCCAGATAAGTTGATTTTTTAGAAGTCGAGTTTCTGCCCGGACACTGCCTTTCAACGTTAGCGCAAGGAGCAGTTTGAACAATTTCCATTATTTGTAGTCACTCAAAACTATGCAGTTTTGGTGTTGAAAACTATCATGACTTCGTTTCCGAAAGCGTTGTGCTATAGGTATGGATAGCAGACTCGAAATCGGCGTTTCGAGCTCTTTCTGAAAGCTCTCAGACAAATATTGCGAGCACCCGCGGCCCTCGCCGTTGCCTTTTGGCAGTGCGCGGACCTTAAATTCTCAGATTAACCATCCGCGGCCTTAGATTCATTTATTTGGCAGCTCACGGCTCGATGGTTGCGAGAGAAAGGCCGCGGGCCCTAATTTTTTCATAGAAACAGCTGTGGCCTAGGAAAATACACTCGGGCGAACCCTGAGCCTTACAGGACACACTGCATATTTTGTTCTCGGGAAAGCCGCCGCCCTTTAGGCCACGGCCCGACACAACCATTCTGCTGAGTCGCAACCGTGCTGTACGCCGTAATTTTTATAAGAGAAAATGTTAATTGCTGAGATACGCTGCGATAACAGGGCTACACGCAACATTTAGCCCTTGGGTTTGAAGTGAAGCGAAGTCAGGCTCTGGTCACCGATAGTGTCCCGGATGTCCACCACTGGAGTCCTTCACCCTGGGGCCAAGAATGGAGTGACCGAAACTAGACTAGACATCACTCGCATCTTTATGCAGATTGTGGCTTCTATGTCAGGTTGTGAATGGAGACAGGTGTCCAAAATCCTACATGATCGAGATACCAAGTGCGCTTTCGGGCTACACGCGGGTACAAATGGCGCAATTATAGAGTGCTTGCTGCGTAATTACCGGCGCTCCCTCGAAAAGGGCGTGGCGTTGCCCGTGGGTGGTCGGCGCGTGCTCACCATAATTGTTTGAGCATACAGTGTGTTCGCTCCCTTGAAAAGGGCGTGGCGTTGCCCGTGGGTGGTCGGCGCGTGCTCACCATAATTGTTTGAGCATACAGTGTGTTTGAATTTTGAACACGTAGAATAAAGGCATTTTGCGAAACTACCTGAACTTTGAGATTTCGGGCGTTGCAAGCCAACATGAAGCCATTAACAACCTAGACTAAGCACAATGGTCCAAACTTTGTGTGAATTATTATTAAAGGTTGACTGATCTAGCTCACAAGGGAATGGTCAGAAGTCGAAGTGGCCAAACCAAACACGCTGTATACCATTCGATGCAGTATAAAACGCTGATTCCGAATCTGTCTTTCTTATCTGCTTCCCACTTCTGTGGACGAAGCTACAAGCCATTAAAGACCATTATTTTGCCAAGAATTACGCGTGAGATTGAAAATTTAGCCGTGCAGAGCCACGTTCGCCTTATTGCTGGGCCAAAACATGCAGCTAGCCTACTTCAAACTTTTAAAGAGAGAAGCTGGGCCAAAAGTGCAACAATGTGCTCAACTTCGCTATTTTTATGCGTGATTTTTTCACAATAAAACCGCTAGTAGCTTCGTCCACAGAAGCGGGAAACAGATAAGAAAGACAGATTCGAAGTCAGTGTTTTATACTGCATCGAATGGTATGCACCTTGTTTGGTTTGGCCACTTCGACTTCTGACCATTTCCTTGTCAGTAAGAAAGAAATGGTGGGACCCTTACAAAGTTGAAGGAGTCCTTATACGCAAGGTGCTGGGGCAACCGTAAATTACAAAGGAGTCGTACTTCAAAACTAACCGAGACTTTGCATATTGGGATTATTTGACGTGCCAAACACACGGATGTCATATTCATTAGATGGAACAACGCCCATTCTTGATTAGATGAGACTTTGAACCGTAAGCCTACAGTAATCTTACAAAAAAGCCCTTACTGTGCACATTCAGTATCGCTATAGTGATCAGTATATCGGATCACCCTCCTATATTAAGTCTTAATCAAAGCTGTAGAATTTTGAAACTTTTCCCCGGATGCCATATACCTACTGCAGCCCTTCCGGAACGTCAGAATCTGGCAGAACAGCAGGCATTGTAGCTTATCATAATCTACGCATTTTCAAAATTTGATGCACCTTGTCAAATGAGAGGGAAGTTTTTGAGAGCTAAAACTCAGTCTCCGACTTACTAAGTTGTCAGGTTGTGGTTTTTCAAAGAGTAACTTTCCTTCTATCGTTCATCTTGAAGATGTCAATTAAGTGATTCTGCTAAAAATTCTAAGAGTGCATATGGATAGACTGGAATTTTTTTTGATAATGTAAAGAGTAACAGCCTAATCCCTAATGCTCGCCCATGAAGAGTATTTTTGAACGAATTTACAATTTTTCTCAGTGTTTCGTCGTGTTTGATTCAATATAGTGATACGCTACGAGCCTCAAAACTTCAGAAACCCGTGAAAGTTCACGTTGGCTGTCATTCAAATGTTCTTGCATTTTTTATGACCACATGGCTATTCCGCAAGTTGTCCTTTACGCAACAGGCGACATATGATCTAGACGGATAAAATAACACGTACTTGGAAAAAAATATTGCGCATGTATGGGAGTTTGAGATCAACTTTGTGTTGCTTTTTGATTATTTTCCTTCTCGGCCATATTTGAAATTGGTACTCATCGAGCAGAATGTGATTAGTTACCTTTAAGTCTCATACAAAATTTATACGTTAAGCTGACATCTATTCATTCATTCCGAATTTTTCTTTTTTTTGGAATTCATCTAGGACAACCTTTAATTGCAATTTCCTTTATATATGTCTCCCTCAGTAATGTGCAACCAGTTCTTCTTCTCCAAATTCTCATTAGTATGCGCAGGGAAAATGTTCCAAGGATTTGCAGTAACAAAATTTAGATTTTCTGTAATTTTCGCACTCAAATGAAAATTTCCTGTCTAAGAGGCCGAGCGCATTTCATTTTACATAAAAAATGCATCCATTAGCTTGATTGCCCTCTTGACTTCATCTCGTGGCAAGAAAGTGTCTCAGTGCAACCGGATGTTTACCCTTTATTGCTGTCTCAAGGTCCAGGTGAACTCGTCCATAAGTAATTTCGAAAATATCAAGCACATAAGTAGCCGGCATTTCGTAGTTCAGTCATTTGCTCACTACACACTTTGATTTTTTATAAAAAGGTTTTTTTTTAGTATTGTGAGCTCCCCCTCTACCGTGGCAACCCCTTTCCTAATAAGGAGATGCACAGCAGATACACCAAATCCACAAGAACGAAACATGAACCTTGTAGTCCCAGCCTCCTTTAGCATCAATGTGTTTACGACGTGTTATTTTACCAAAGACCTAAGTATAGTGAGACCCGGCCCGAAAGCATTACCCGTTGCCAAAATTCTCCTTACCCGGAAGCTATTACGCATAATAGCACCTCAGCTGATGTTGCGCTTGGATATTCATAGACTTATCCAGGCCGAATCCCATAAAATAGTACTTCCATTGCTTTTTGGGCTTACGACATCTATAAGGCAAACGTAAGTGAGTAGTAAGTTTTTATGACTCCGGATATAGCTTTCGGGGGGCATGAAGTATATTGCCAGCTCGTAGATCAAGTCTCAGTTGACCTAGGACTCACTTCTTATACTACTTGCTTTCGCCTACCAGGATTATTCTTTCTGATAAAATTTTTGGCAATTAATTTCAAGATTAGACTCCAAAAACAATGTAGGGTCAGGAACTAATTTCACACCCGTAAAGTTCAATTTTAGCTTCATGAGAGCAAATTAGCCAGTTTTTTCGCTGTTCTCGGGGCCGTTCACTTCCAAACTTAATTCCTTCAGAAGAGCGTATTGCATGCTGTCGTAGTTCCTGGTTCTCATTTTCACTTAACAACATTTTTAAGAGCCTTATTTAGACAAACATAAATCAGAAAATATTAGGTTTTGTTCAAAAGCGAATCTTGGAGAAATTTCTTTCCTTTGATTTTTTTCTTGACTTTAAGAAACTGAAGTTCAAGGGTGGGAACTTAACAAGTTCGATCTTTCTTTCTCTCTGCACTAATTGTCCCTGTTGTTCTTCTTCATCAGCTTCCAATTTATCTCTTCTAAATTCATCAGTAAAGAACAAATCTTGGATTTGCTGGCTGGAAGATCTACGTAAATAGGAAAAGAAACAAATGTTTTCTTTTAGGTTTGGGAGTCCAACGTTGCGGATTAGAGCTGACTTGACAGAGAAGAAAAATTACAGAAAAAGTTGAAAAAGTGGTCTGCTTTTGAAACAAGCTTATGACTCGTAAATTTGCAAGAAAGAATTATTTTCTGTTTTTTTTTCTACCTAAAAATGCAGTCTGTAGCGCTTGTTGAAGTAATTTGAAGCAGTTCTCATTTTCAAAATTGTAGTTTCCAACGGACTTCTCACATTTCTTATTCTCGTATATTTCATAGCATTTTCTATGCAAATGCATAGAGCTTTTTCAACTCTGCTTTAGATTCACTATCATGCGACTCTACTTTTTTTGCCTAAGAATTCAATTAGATACCTCAATGATGCGACGTTATCCAGCTTAACATCAGATAATTGTACAGCTTTTATTTTTTGTGGGCCTATACATCATCAATATCGTTTAGAAAAGTTTTATCATCCACCTTTAACAGAGTTATTGATTATTAAAATGTAACAAAACTCCATAAACAGCTGAATGTATAAAAGACAGTTTCAGAAATAGTGAAAACAAGCAACTATATTAACCCATTGAAAATAACACTTCTTTTTTGATAGTAGCGCATTTTTTTTACTAATTATTTTTTTTACCACAGACTATGCAGAAATGTCATTTCCATCGAAGCGCGTATTGATAAATCCGGGTTTATCTAAGGCTTTCAACTTTCTATAGAAGCTAACGAAGTAAGAATTATGCTGATGAGTTACTTTTGCATCATTCTCATTGACGTTCGAGTTTTTCTCAAACTCATGCTATTTACCCAAGGAAATTGATGTCTTAAGCAAGAAATACTCGCTAACTTTGTGTCTCAAAAGAATTTCGTATAGAAACTCAAGGTAGAATATGGCGCAGTGCAATCTTTCAGTTGAATAAAGATTCTGTTCACCTTTTTCTTTCTCACGTTTTTCCACGATCCCTGTACATTACGATGGCTTTCTTCACGTGAACGGCAATAGCTTCCATAAACCAAAATATTTTGGATATAATATTAACAAGTCTTTGCAGACATGGAAAAGTAACTTTATGATTACACTATTTGTGGTCCAATAAACTTAAAAAACGGCCTGTTTTGTAGGCGGCCTTATTTCATGTTTCCTTTTTCATGGCTTTGGTACTTTTGCTCGTTTCGTTAAAATTGAGCTCCACTTCCAGTAAGCCATTAAAGCTACTTAGTAATCTTCAAATAATGTAAACACAGATTTCTGAAAGAGGGGATCAACTATGCATTTTGACGAGCGTATGTAGCCAGAATTAGGGCTTCCAAAGAGTTTTTTGTTCCCTTACAGCAACTCGTTAAGAGTTTCGGAGGATTTAGTTGTACTTTTGCAAGACTCCAATTTTTTTCAAATTTCCGCAAAAGACCAAAATGGCTGGGTAATGGCGATCAAAATTTCGGCCTTTTTCTGCAAAAATTTGAATTCTTTGATGTCTACAGAAAGCGATTCTCTTTTAGAAATTAATTGTAAACTTCCCACTTCTGTACTCTTAAATCTGCATTGCTCAAAGTGAACTCTAAGGAATCGCCGTGGCTGCTCCATTTATGAAAATTTTCTTGCTGCAGAGTTTTTTTTTAAGTCGTAGTGTTTTTGCCAAAACAGTATTACAATTGTGCCTTCGGATAATCTCACGCCCTTACATTTTACAGAAATTTCAGCCAAGAAAACGTTTCTAATAATAATTTCAAGGAATAACCTCTGCTCTGTACTTATCTTCTACTAAACATGAGAAAGGAGAACTTCTAAAATGTCCGATTTTCTTCTGCATTTTTACTGCTTCGTTTTTGAGAAAATATAGACATCAAACTGCCGTTATAGGCTGAAACCATGGCCCAGCACGAGGTGGCATTTAAAAATTTTGAAAACGAATTCCCCCTTGTCAGTGCAGAAGATTACGAAATACCTTTTTTTTTGCAGAAGTACGGCAAATTTACTGCAGCGAACGGTGACGAAATTGCAAATGAAAGCAACACTTGAAAAAAAGGAGGTTTTAAATGTCGTCAATGGCCATAGCAAAGCAGAGGAAACGAATTTTGGCTCAATTTAAGTACTCTAGGTAGAGTTTGAACTGAAGAATAGATTTATGTGGAAAACTTTGAAAAATTATATGAGGAAGGGAGAAAAATGACTTTGTTGGGTTAGGCGCAACCTCAGAGTGCGTGCTCCCGGATTGCGCGGGAGCAACCTAAAAAAGCTTACAACTACTCTCATTCACACAATTTTCTCATAATTTTTCATACTTTGCTTTTTGTCGTCTTCGCGAAGGTGCACATCAAATTTGGTGTCTCAATATTGCTTACTGGTTGTAAATAAACTAATATTTATTTATTATGCATAAAGATTGTGTTTTAAAACGTTAGGAATCGTGTGAACACAAGTTGGTATTTCTTGTTTGTAACATGTTCATTGATCTGTTAGCGGTTGAATGACGCTGAAGCCTCAAAGTTGGGCTTGCTATGAAAAAAACTTTGCTTCCTATCTTGTCCAATAAATTCCCTGAAAATTTTACAATTTCCCTTTTGCTTCTCCCCAAGAAAACGATATTCAGCGTGTGAAAGCGCCACCTCTACTGAGCCCTGGCTGAAACTACATCTTAGGAAGATTTCGGAAGAGCAAAAACTCAGAGAATCCAGATGAAATACTCCAAAAAAGAAAGTCGATATGCTCATGAGTTCGTAAATTTGATGGTCATATGTTTTTTGTGTCATCTGTCATCCGGTGATTGAATCCTCTTAGTCCCTAGGTCCATAGCAAGTAAGTTTTTAGCAAACTGGAACTTTGCAAATTTTGAATAGTGAAATTGATATCATCTTCCAATTAAATACTTCTCTTTGCATTTATAGAAAATTAGAAGACGTTCTTTTGAAGAAAAAAAGGAAATTAGAACATTTGCTGAAAAGGAATATGTGTCAATTCTTGACTATTATAATTATTAGAATAAAGAATTTTCTTATAAACACAAAAACTGAACTACTCCTATTTTCCTTGCTTATCAAGAAAATCCGATTAATATAGCTGAAAATAAAAAATATAGTTTTGTTGACATTTTCTTTCTCACCACTTCTAAAAAATTCATTACTTGTTCCTCAAGCACATACAATACAAATTGTAATGCGTAAAGAATTTTTTTCTACTTTTTCGCTTTTTTATCCTGTAATGACCTTATTTATAGGCAAAATAAGTTTCTAACGCGAAATTTACCCAATATGGGTGACGATGACGACACGCTCTGTGCAAAATTAGTGAGTAGAGCTTTTATCTTAAAACATTCCATTTCTTCCACTTCCGTTCAGCGACTTCGTGCCGTTCTCCTTCATTTCGGTCTCGTCATTACTTGTATTGCTTATATAGTAGCTGGAGCTTGGCTATTCCAAACCATAGAACGACCAGTGGAGCTGGAATTACGAGAAGAGGCATTGAGAATGTTTGAGAAAGTCAGAGAGGTGGGTTTTTTAGAGGAATTTTCGAGAGAGTAGTCATAAAGGTAGTGGCCAGGAAATTATTACCTGGACTTAAAATACGGAAGCCCAGGTAAGAATGGAGAAGATGATGGAGGGGGGGGGGGGGGGGGAGGGGGCGACCTTGCCAACTTCTTGAAGCTGCTCTACTTGACCTATAAATGGTACCTCAGATCTTTCTGAAAGATCTGCTCTGCAAAAAAAATCTTGTTATTAACATCTTCAATGTAAGTTTCGGGGCCATGACCGCATTTGGGAATCATTCCAGGAAGATTTTATGAGAATTATTCAGAAATCCATTCTGTTCTGCCCTCCCCCTTTCATCCCTCCCCCACCCATGTAAATTTCCAAAACCGCCCTCGGATAGTGTTCTATCACATCATTTATGGCCGAAAGATTCCGCTACAAACTCTCACCCAGTACCGTAGTCAATAATGCCTGTTGAGCCGCTCGGAAAGAGTGTACGGTACTGGGAGAGAGGTTATGAATAGATTTTCTGGCCGCGGTCGAATCATATGGGCTGCCGCGACAATGGCCTAGTCATAACCTCGTAATCTGAAACCCAGATTACCTGTGACCGTATTCATCAACGAACCCAGTGGGTTCCCCTATCCAGTGGGTAAGCACAAACAGTGCCACTGGGTTGAATCGATATTCACTCAAAGCACTGCTGGGTTCGCGAACCCACTAGCTTTGTGAATAAAGATTTCATGAGTTGAGCCTAACCAATGGTCCGGAACCCACTGGGTTCGTTGATGAATACGGCTACTGGACACTGCCTTCGAAGAAAGTTGAATTTGATCCTGCATGATCGGCATAAAATATGATTCAGGAATTTCTCTCCAATGTCACCGAAAGCAATAAAAACGTTGAGGATACTGTAGATGCCTACATTGGAAGTATGCTGACACTGTTCGAAAACCCTCACTATGCCCACGTATTCGAAACTCATCTGTCAGATGTGAACAGCAGCGATAAGGATATATGGACATTTCCAGCAGCTGTGTTGTTCACCACGACTACTATAATCCCAGTTGGTTAGTTCTTCATCTTGTAGTAACTAGAATCCCGAAATGTACATCAGGTTACGGTAATGTCTGCCCAGCTTCTGAATGGGGAAGGCTACTGCTGGTCATTTACGGAATGATTGGAATGCCATTAGCCTTAGTGACAATGGCTGATACCGGAAAATTTATCAGCCAAGGTGTGACCAGATGGTTTGAAGATGTAAGTAATGCTAAAACAAACTAATTTCACCGTTGTTTGCGTCGTTTTTGAGATTTGTAATGATCTCGACGAGTAAAATGAATGATTTTTCCAAATGTTAGGGCGCAGACCTCGCTTTAGCAATTTGTGATGCTTTTTTCAAAAAAAAATAAAAAGGAGGCGGCAGTTTTTTGGGTTCGTGTTCTGAATTCTTTGATTCACAAGTTAGTTTTTTGTCCCGTTTTTTTTGTGAGGAGGATACAATACCTCCTTGCAGCAGTAATGCAGTTTTGCGATCTTTTTTTGCATACTACTGATTTTTTCTTCATTTCAGTCTATGGCAGTACCAACTGGACTATTTTTATCGGTGTTATGTGTATATCCTGTCGTTGGTGGCATGTTATTCCATCACTATGCAGATTTACAATTTCGTGATGCAATATACTTCAGTTTTACCTCGATATTTACCATTGGATTCGGTGATTTAATGGTAGGTCAAAAAAAATTTTTCCTGACATGTTTCATCGCTAGATTTCTCAAAATTATTTTGAACATGTCAGGCTTTTTCTATGCAGTGTGGATTGGAGTAGGCGGAGCTTGCCACTTTTCTTCATCAGATTTCTCCGTGTCCCTCCAAGCAAGCTCCGCCTCCTTGCTGTTTTTATTCATTTTGATTCGTTTCTTCTTCGTACTCGTAGTTGGTATTTTAGCCTAGCATAAACGTGATCTACCTCGTCGTGTTTATTGTTTTCGGAGTTATCCTTGTGACGATTACCATTGATTTTGTGGCTGCTGAAGTGATCGACCATATCCATTACATGGGTCGTCATGTGGGAAAAGCGCGGGAAATTGCCGGGAAAATGATGCAAGTAAGCAAACTAAAGGTCGAGCTAATGCGAAAGTGTTGTTTTGTTATTTCACTGTTACTTAGTATTTGTTTGAATCCAGTAAAGCTGTAGAATTTTCCAGAGATTACGATAGCATAATTTATGCACTTAATTTGCTTGGAAATCTTGTTTGAAACTAATTGAGTGTAGTAAAAACTGAGCTTCACTGCTAGTTCTCGAGGTTTTCGAGGATTACGGTATCGTATAAAAGGACCTTCATGCATTTAAATCAATAACAAATTACTTCTGGGTCAACTATTTTCAAGCATAAACAAAGTTTAAAAGTGAATGTGAATAGAAACTGTATACTCAATCGTCACTTCTAAATATTCAACACTAGCTGGCTTACCCGGCTCCGCCGTATGTTCCGAATAGAAAATTCCATTTCTCAACCGATCCGGACCAAACTTGGCACACATACACTTCGGGCCCCGGCGGATGTCACAGTCCACTTTTCGTTATCGATCGATGTCGATTTTATCGATTTTTTGCAAAATTTGAGCTAGGGGGCTGAAATTTGGCAGAGGGGTGTAATCGAGCATGCTGATCACCCCCCCCCCACGGGAGTGATCAGCATGCTCGATTACCCCCCTGTGCCAACTCCCAGCCCCGTAGGTGAACTCTGCAAAAAAATCGATAAAAATTGTTAAAATCGATATCAATCGATGACGAAAAGTAGCCTGTGACACCCGCCGGGGCCCGAAATGTATGTGTGCTAAGTTTGGTCCCGATCGGTTCAGAAATGAAATTTTCTATTCGGAACATACGTACACACATACAGACAGACAGACAAACAGACATTCAGCTTTATATATATGATTAAGAAATATTTCAGCTCGCTCAATCCATTAACATGAACAAAGGAATCACTGGGCTTACAGCTGGAATGAGTCAGCTACAGGCCTTGGCGCGATTTGGTTTATTGGGGAAAATAGATCAAGCGGTAAGTGCGAACGATTATACGCTCATTTTTACCAAGATTTAAAAATAATCAGAACTGTATGATTTTTATATTAGCAATGACAAACTGATGGCGTTGAGTTCCGAACTTTTTTCTGCGCAAATTTTTTTGGGTAAACTTTTGTTGGACTTCTTTCCCCCAAATTTCTATTGCTATTCGCCTGCTGCATGACAGACTAGAAGTTGTGCAATTACACGAGTTAAGAGTCTGAGTCAAGAATAATCCAGAAGCCAGAGCGAATCAATACCAGAGTTATCTTCCTCTCTTTACCACTTTCCCGATTTTCTACTAATGTATCATCTGTATGTCTGTCTGTATGTATGTGTGTACGTATGTTCCGAATACAAATTTTTATTTCTGAACCGATCGGGACCAAACTTGGCACACATATACTTCAGGGCAGGGAGCGTGTCATAGGCTACTTTTCGTTATCGATCGATATCGATTTTATTGATTTTTTGCAAAATTCGAGCTAGAGGGCTGGGATTTGGCAGAGGGGGGTAATCGAGCATGCTGATCACCCCGAAGGGGTGATCAGCATGCTCGATTACCCCCCTGTGCAAAATCCTAGCCCCCTAGCTCAAATTTTGCAAAAAATCGGTAAAATCGACATCGATCGATAACGAAAAGTGGGCTGTGACACGCTCCCTGCCCCGAAGTGTATGTGTGCAAAGTTCGGTCCCAATCGGTTCAGAGATAAAAATTTCTATTCGGAACATACGTACACGGGTCTAGCTGGCAGGCCCGGCGGAGCCGGGCAAGCCAGCTAGTGACTTATAATAACGGGCTAAGGATGTTTACGTGACTTTGTGTGTGTGTTTGTGTGTCTGTTACGAAATTTGTGGAGCGTGTTCCAGCAAACGTCCTGGGCCCAAATTTTGCACAACACATGCTACCAGCACAAAACTCCACCATGCAAAAGCATGAGCGAATTCGTTGAGTGGATCCCTCAGAAATTGCGCGCCAAACGGGTCCACCTGGCTTCTGTACCGCAAAATACGGTCCGTATCACCTCTTTTTGCAGAGTCGTGGATGAGTTTGGTAAGCAAATATGCAAGCGATGGAGTTTAGGCAGAAAAGTGGTCGAAAGTTTGCTACATAACGAAAACGGCGTCAAAACGAATTGGTTGTGTAATTGGTCAATTTGCCAAGGTTCTAGTAACTATATAATTTCATACTTCTCCTTCCATCACTCCCCTCTTCACTCTGCCCCTACTTTAGCCAATTTGTTTACTCCTGTTCTTGCTTTCAGGTGCTCGAAAAAGGCACTCCATATGCTTTTGCGCCATTTTTGGAAGACATGGACTTTATGGACAATGCATCGGTCTATACACCTTCAAAGGATGAAAAAGTGCCTCTGAGGCAACATCAAGTTATGTAAATAATGTCTGTATATATAAAAAAAGAGTTTTCTGTAGTAAAAAACGCTTTTATTGATTCGATGAACGAGTAAGCGCATTTACTTGTATATGAACAACGTTCAACTTCTTTTTCTTTAATATCCTCAATGTCCTAAATATTTTTCTTTGAAACGAAGGACTTTCATTTAAGATTTACCCTCTTTACTCTTCCTGCTCCTTCTAATCCGACGCTTTCCTCTTTCTGATTTCTAAAAAATGTAGGTTTTCCTCATGTCACTGTTTTGTAGAATTTATGCGAAAGAATCGGGGTACTTGGGTCTTCTGTGGTTAAACTAGTTAAGAGGTCAAGGACATGCTCAAGCAACAGATGGTGCTCCGACTAGAAATTCGGTTCTCGCTCATCACCGTCTTTCTGAGAGCATCAATCTTTGGGTACGGTACTGGGCGACAATTAAAAGTTAGGTCTCTTAACCGCGAACGAGCAACATGAGATCTCGTTTGAGCAATGTTTTTGCGTAGCTCACGCCTTTCAACCGTACCCACAAAAAAAAGTCCAGATAAGCAATGATTTTGAGTGCACATAGACTGCACATAGAGACACGCTCTCCATGTGCAGCCAAAATGCTTACCACTTCTTCTAGAGATTCCAATCTTCTGTTCAAGCTCCTCCATAACTCTCTATCCTTTTTCCTATGCTCTTCTATGGCCAAAAAATGATCTTGAATCTTCTTCACCAATTTTTTTGCTTCCTCCTTCAGTTCGTCGATACTGGCTCTCTGAGCGCAACGATCGCTCGTATCTCCTTCCAGATAACACTCACCTCTGAGCTTGAGTCATTGTTCTTATTCGGCATTTGATAGTGGTGACCTGGCTTCTTGTTGAGACAATAGACGAATAAATGATACCCATTTCTCGATGAAAGACTCATTTGCATAACATGATTATTCATTTTATCTAATCAGCATAACTCTCTGTGTTTATGATACGTTCGTTTGACCAGCTACTTTACGGTAACTCAGTAGCACCTCATTGCTAATGAAAGAGTTTGGCTTTGCTAGTGGAATCAACGTGCCATAATGCCTACTTAATTTAGCGTTTACCTGAGACATTCACTTATGTTGCGTAACCTGGTTTTTCTGAAAAGGGAAGGAAGTTTGGTCGAAGTGGCCTTTTGAAATGAGATGTACACTGCTTTGTAGAGCTTGGAACGCTGATTCCAAATCTACCTTTGCTATCTGCTGTGGGCTTCTGGGCGAGGAGTTATGAAGGTTTTTGTGGGTAAAAATTTGAATGCAAAAATAGGGTAAAATCAGTCGTAACCTTTTCCCAATGTTCAGATGAGGCAGCAGCGAGTTGTTATGTTTGAATCAGAATATTTGTTGCACCGACTGACTCGACTCCCAATTAAACCCGATAAAAAATGTTACGACTGATTTAGCTTACTCTTGCATTCAGATTTTTACTCACAAAAACCTTCATAACTCCCGCCCAGAAGCCCACAGCAGATAGCAAAGGTAGATTTGGAATCAGCCATCTCATTTCAAAAGGCCACTTCGACCAACCTTCCTCTCCTTGTGAGAGTTCGATGTCTCCTGTAGATTAAGGACTATCATGGCAACAGACTTGTGTGATACCTAGCGAGATGCGTGCAAGAAGTCATATGAAATAAGCTAGAAAACGGCTAACCAACTGTGGGAAATGTTCCCTGGAAGTCTATCCACTTCTACTGTTATATGGGAAGTAAGCACAGAAGTCATTTCTGTGATTAACAAGACAGGTGACCTTTGTGGGCAAGTTTCCTAGCAAGTTTCAGAGAGATTCTTGTTTACTTAAAATTCCATTTATCTATGATATTAAAGCGAACCCCGTAGTAAACCCCCGAAATATGTCGTAATGTAAAGAAAGCGAGATCACGGCGTGTCCAAATGAAGTACACTTTGTTCCAATCGGGATCAGGCCACACCGTTGGGGTGAACTGCGTGCTCGCAGCGCTTAGAGTTTGCGCCGCGTATGCGCACGGTCGGAGAGAGCAAAGAGATTGAAGAGAGGGCAGACGGGCAGGCCGTGGGCGTGACGTAAGAACCCAGCAAAGCGGACTCCCGCCATGCCAATTTTGACCTAATTATGATCGGGGCAGACTGTACATGCTGCTCAAGACCATGCCTTGGTCGCCGCAAAATGCGCGATCAAGCCCTTCTTTGATCGTCGTCGGTGCTCACTGCCACTGCGCTGCAAATACGTACAGTGACCGCCAAAGAGTTGCGAACAAGCCGCCTTCCTTTTTCATCGCTTATTTTCGGATGGAAAACAAAGATTAAAAAAATGAATGGATTGCATGAAGTGATAGAGCTCTTTAAGAAGCACAACCGTTGCGCTTTCAAAATATGTATTCTAAACATTTTAAAAGTTTTTTTCTAAAAAAAAGGTCCGAAAATGTCACGTCACAATGTCGCGGACAATAATTCTTCGAACGCAAAAATTTTCCTTTGAGTCTTCGTTTGGAGCAAAATCAGAAGTTTTCTTGACAGATAAGCAGACTATATTATAGAGCTAATCGAGGACAATAATCAGGTAGTGGTTACTTCCAAAAAAAACCCAAGCTTAAATTTTGATTTGCTTTTTTTTTAAAAAAAATAACTTCTACCCTTTCAAGCCAAATTTCTTCTTCATATGGAAACCTATTCAAAACATCCTAACAAAGCTATTCAGATAAAATGGATGCTCTTTGCCATCTTCTATGCATCGGACGTGTGCTGGTGAATGTCTTTGCTTAAAATGGCTCTTGATAATGCCTGCACATCCCACCTGCCCTCACCACTGACTTGCACCGTTTGCAAGCTTGCAGCTCGGCCAGCAGTCATTCTACGAGCCTGCGAGTAGGCTCTTTCGAAAGAGCGTGACTTCCACGATACGAGGTTCTGTGAAAGTTTTGGGTTTTAGAAGGCCCGAAGATTTTACGGATGGGTGAAAAAGGGCAGTCTTAAAGTTAATTGGAGTGAAAGCTCTTATCAACATCAGAGCAGTCTTGGAGCTTCGAAATGTATCTAGTACAAGAAAGTAGCTCTGTTCAACCTTAGCTGAAAAAACCTTAGCCTTCCCAAGCTTCCCGGGTCTTCCCATGCTCATCTCATTTGCATACCATCGTGTCGAGGAAGTCACGACCTTTCGAATGGGGAACGGTCAGGAGTCACGGTCGGCGCGAATTTTTCGCGAAGCGATGCCGCAAGCGATGTCAGCAAAACAGAAGCCAGCACTCTTGGCGCAGTCTTACTTATGGCACGAGCCATGTATCTGCCCCCAACCCCCACCCCCCTAGACTGGCGCCGTGCCACTTTAGCACCGGGCAATTTTATGGGGTACAAAATTTAGACGCGACGTGCGCGGCGAAGCGGCGCGGCGCGCGGCGTGACTCCTGACATGGAGCCCTTTCGAATGAGCCTAAGTACAGGCTCGTAGAATGACTGCCGGCCGAGCTACAAACCTGCAAAGCGGTACAAATCAGTGGTGAAGTGCAGACGGGGTCATGTACACGCACTGCCAAGAGCCATTTTCAGTAAAGAAACTCACCAGCACACGTCCGATGCATGGAGAATGGTAAAGAGCATCTATTTAATCCGAAGAGCTTTGTTGGGATGCCTTGATTAGGTTTCCATATGAAGAAATTTGGCTTGAAGGGTAATTAGAAGTTATGTTTTGAAAAAAAAGCAAATTAAAATTCAAGCTTGGGTTTTTTGGAGGTAACCACTACCTGATTATTGTCCTCGATTAGCTCTATAATATACATGATGTCCCAAAAAATGTTAATACAGTTTGATTGTTAATAACTCCCTTGCTTTCATGTCTTTTGCCGAGCTTGAGGCACCTTTCTATAGAGCGAGGTTTAACTTAGATTTACAGTATGAAGCGAATCACCAATCGCCCTTCATTATTGTAGGATTACGGTAGGAACTTCGACAAGGATTTTAGGTTATTGGAGGCCATATTCTCCTCGAAAAAAACTAGACAAGCCAAAAACTATTATACTATGATAATGGAAGCCGCTAATTTTAAATATGAAATTCCCACTTTACTGTGATGTTACTTTTCAAGGTATCGCAGGAAACCTTAATGAACAAATTTCCAGCTGCCAAAAATGTGATTAGACTGTCGAAAAAGCTAAAACACTCGTAAATAGTTGTGTATTGGAATTGGAATCAGCATGCGTGAAAACAATAGTACACAATTTTTCAGATTTTTTGACAAAAATCCTGTCAAATGACATTTTTCACAATGGATCCACATGCTAGAATTTCAAACCGTAAACATACAGTAACGAACGGAGATCGAAGTTTTGCTCCATACCGTAAATCTGAGTTGAACCTCACCCTACAGAACTGTGTCTCAAGCTCGGCGAAAGACATGAAAGAAACGGAGTTATTAACGATCAAACAGTGTTAACATTTTTTTGGGACACCCTGTAGTATGCTTATCTGTCAAAAAAACTTCTGATTTTGTTCCAAACGAAGACCTAAAGGAAAATTTTCGCGTTCGACGAATTATTGTCCGCGACATTGTGACGCGGCGGTTTTCGGACTTTCTTTAGAAAAAGACTTTCAAAATTTTTAGAATACATATTTTCCAAAAAGCGCAACGTGGAGCTTGCAGCTCTTGAAGACTTCTATCACCATATGCAATCCAATCATTTTTTATCTTTGCTTTCCATGCGAAAATGAGCGATGAAGGAAGGCGGCTTGTCCGCAACTTCTTGGCGGTCACTATGTTTGGAAATCAAAGTTGAAGCAAACTTATCAAAATGCGGCAAACATGACAGTCGCTTTCGAAATCTCCCAAATAAATCGATAAGCAAGCTTCGTTTTGATTCAATCTCTATTAGGTTGTAAACGAGCTCATTGCCTCATATTCACAATTAAGACGCATACCGATGGGTTGCCAAATGCAGTGTGGATAGCGCAGCGCCAGTATCGCATGCCGCTGTACCGAAGGCACCCGCCATACTTGATCCTCTTGATTCACTTGATCCGCTTGATCTGCTTCGTGCAAAACGCGCGCGCCCAGCAATTTGTCATTTGGTGCTGCATAGGTAAAAAGGAACATTATATGGTTACGCAAATTCGCTGTACGCGACGCCGAATGACTCACTGACGCGCGTTTTGCACGAAGCGGATCAAGCGGATCAAGTGGATCAGGAAGATTAAGTATAGCTGGTGCCTAGCGAAGATATGTGAAGGGGAGCTCGCATTCCGTTCGAGCAGAATTTGCATGAGTTTTTCTAAACAAAAAAATAGTACGTTTCTCGACAGTAAAGGAAAAATGACCACGTGAAACGCAAAATATTAACATTACACAATAATCTTTTCCAGAGTTGGCGCAAACATGTGCTATCCTATTAGCCATGATGCCAGACGGTTCCATTTCTCAAATATAAAAGGGAACGTTAGATGCAAGATAATGAAGAGCTAATAAATATGTAATAAAAATTTTTAAGACAAGAAAAACCGGGATTAGCAGGTAGGAAAAATCAGCGCTTAATTGGGTTGCAGTGTGAGACTAAAGAGAAAAATTAGCTTCTAAACAAAATAAGACTAAATAGATTTCCAATATATCGTCGTCTCCCCGCGATAGATGGGGCGTGTCGTCTGCAAAGTCCGTAGACGTGCGTGTTTCGTACGGTGCTAGCCGGCGTGACTTTGCCAACGTTGCAAACGTATGCGCGTGGCAGTTTTTGGCAGTTAGAAAGTACGAAAACTAATGTTATATGATGAAGATTTAACAAGTATTTAGACGTGGCATGTATATACATGCCACGCCATGGCTAATGCCTTACGAAATACGCACGTCTGCGGACTTTGCAGACGACACGCCCCATCTATTGCGGGGAGACGACGATACTTTGTAATCGAAATAATTTCGCCTTTTCTATATTACAAAGCACATGAATGCAGAATTACACAGAAAATAAGAAGATCGCTTGCCGCCTGGATATTTGGGCGCTTATCAGGAGTTGGTATTGATGGCAAATGGCGTGCGTTGGACCTATTGCTGTGTGTCTACTGTCCTTGCACACAGGTCGGACTCGGCGTACTCGACACCTAGTCGGTTGCGCCATCCTGCGTCTCCACGGTGGGCGCACTTTTTTGTTTGTTTGCCCCTCAAGTGACGAGAGTCCTCTGCGCACCGGGACAAGCACGTCCTGCAGTCACGATGTTCAGCGATTTCACCGCGCGGCCGTGATAAGAGATGCCGCCGGACGAATAGCGGCCGAAATTACACGTACTGCTCAGACACTCGCACGGGCTGAGGGCCGTTCCACGGCCGGCTGGTCCGTCGCCGACATTTCGGCCGGAACGGTCGCCAGCCGGCCGCACCGCCGGCCGCCGGCCGGTATGCTTCAGTGGCGCAGTGAAATGGCACTGGGCCACAGCATTTCTCTCTTTGAGTTCTAGCTTTCAACACTGTAGTCTTAATACAGGGTGGTAGACTCTACATGGACATATTTATTATAACGCTATACACTGCGAAGAAACATTGACAAAAAGAATGTCACACAGATCCACGAAAATTACATTTGACTACAAAGCTGGCAACTATATGGAAAGATCATTTGAAGATCATCACACATCGTCGGACAAGCGTTCCGAATGCGCTGGTGGGTCACAGAATGTTCTATTTCTTGTACTTCTAAACGCACACGTAAGCAATAGCAAGCTGCATTCGATGAGTAAATGAAACAAACTATTGTTAATTTTTAACTGACTCCAGAACTTACATGCTATGCAATGCAATGATGGTTGTTAGTAGAGCAGTACCAATAAGTAAGCATTACAGTAGACGGTTAGAAACTATGATTGTATCAGCCTCTGGAAAACACCGCAACGCTATTCTTACATAATGTCAAAAAACTTACATCTTTGGAGTGGGTCCAGCAGCCTGACCATCGATTAGCAGAAATGCGGTAGGGCATCAGATAGCATTCCGAACCGTAAATGTTGTCAGCATAGTAGCAACTGCCAGATGAACGGTATCCAGATGAATTTTAAATTACCCAGCAATCAGAAATAGTTCAGAGATTTAAGAAATGTGAATATGTAAAGGAGCATCCGTTAGGAGTAATACTCGATTTTAGGAATAACATGGCAGTCAACCAGCTGTAGTTCCTTCAGACAGACAAGAACGCAAACACCATAAACGTTGTAGCTGTCCCCTGAAAAATAGTGGAATATTCAACTTGTACTTCATTCGTTCGTACCCAAAAAGGTGATGCAACACAAAGAATTAACGTCACAGCGAATAGGCATGAACTCACTGACGTGCGACTTTTTCGCCATTCAAGTCAAAATAAGCAGGAATTAGAAAGAAGAAATAACGAACACCATGGAGTTTGATCAAATTTGAAAAAGAGAGGTGGAATGAGAGGAATCGTAATAATGGGCTACATCAATATCAATCGGACATAGAAAGTGACGCAACCGAAGTGGAAACCCCCAACAATAACAAAGGAAAACTAATAAAGAAAAGTTTTTGCTTGAAAGCACAAGCGCACAATGTTTGAAAGTATTTTCTTACTGTTCGCGCAATCTTGTGTGCTTTCCGAGCTTTTGCATAGTGGAACGGCCGCCGGCCGGCATGATTTACTCGTTCGGTGGCCAGCCGGCTTTTGCCTCCGCCCAAAATGATGGAACGGTCGCCGGCCGGAAGGCCGTCGTCGAACGGTCGCCAACCGGCGCGAGTGTCTGAGTAAGTACGTAAGATTTTCGCACGCCGGAACCATCAAGAGTAAGGGAATACTACGGGCCCAGATGTTGTTTTCGTAAAAGTCAACTTGACCTTGTGGGCAAATCCTGAAAAGCTCGGGCTATCTGGTTTTTTTGTTGCTCGCTCTTGAGCTAGCCGTATGTTTTGAAGCCTTGACGATTTTGAATTTTATTGTTCAAATATAGCTAGCCTAATAGATAAACTGCCTCAAATTTGACAGTTCGGACATCAGAATACTCAAAATTTCCGATAAGTTTTTCGAAATGAATATTCGGACTCAACTGTTATATCTGTATAGTGCTTAACACCTGCAAAAATTGAGTATTCTTTTTTCAATAGAAGCCTTGTACATCAAAGTCTACAACTACCCGAGAAATGAATGCATCATCAGCGTCTCTTCCTCTTCATAAAAATGATGGTAGGAACTGCAGACGAAACTGCTGCGAAATCACTTTCAAAATTCTCATGCTGCACAATTCAATGTTTGCAAAGGCAACACCTTTTGAGTATTTTATTACGTAAATGTAGACTGGCGAGCCCTCTTCTATGTGTATAATTAAGCTGAGCCCCTAAATATATGTAACAAAATTGTTCAGGTCTATGTCATCAGTGCAAAATAATCTCAATCCTACATCTTTATTCTCTATCATTCGATACATACCTTGCGCAAACAAACTGCAACGTATTTAATATTTTCGTAAATGAGGCAAGGGGCTTCCACTCGTAAAAGAAAGCTACTTGCCGCATGCTGCCTTGCAAAGCTGTGCCCATGTGTGCCTTTCCAAAAGCTGAAATGCATGCCTTAGAGGTAGAACCAAAAACGATCATAAACCTTTGCAGTGTTCTGGTCAGGTGTTTTTCCGCAGAGAAATTTCGGTATTTTGGGATCCTCCTTGCATTTCTTATTCAGTCTCTTAAAACAGAATCTTCCAAGCAATGATGGTTAAGCATGATAAATTAACCTTGAAACTAATCTTGGCGTTTTTATCCATACTTTTCAAATATGGGCACCCTTTGGAGCAGAAGAGGTTCATCATTTCATCGTTTTTATTGGTTGCAGCAATGGTCAAGGGAATGAAGACGAGAAACAGGAGGAAAAGCACCATAACAAAAGTTTTCCATTTTATCTGAGCTTTTATAGCGCTGAATACTTAATCAAACTAAAGAATAGTTGTGAGCAGGCACTTAAAAAGCAGAAAAGTAGAAGGCTATCAATTTCAATAATTTTATATTGCTTCTAATTGAATATAGCGGTGATAAAAATTGCGCAAAACAATTCTACAAGTTTAGATTACAAACTATGCAGATTCACTAATGCATGTCTTATTACAATACACATTTCCATTTCAATTTTCACTGGCAGCTGCGAGAGCGCTGAATCAGCGAGTGTTTCAATAGTGAAAATTCAATATAAATCTTGAAAATTGACAGTTTCTAGCCCAAAGCTATAAGAAGTTGATGGACAACAATGCAAAGCATTCAATTTTTACAAGCTCTTTTGATCGATTGCTTCTGCTTTTGACTGCTCATCATCATGTGGATATAGTCAACAATCGAAATTTTTATTTTTACACTTTGTCATTCTCTTATATGTGCTCGCTATAGAGTTCCGATCACAATAATTCACTTTTATTGCAAATGTGGCTGCACATAAAATGGTTCCCGAAGGGTACCCCATGTTTGCCTGAGAAGTGAGCCAGTTACAAGTTCGCTTCTCATCAATCAGATGCATAATTTGACTCCAAACAGGGGAAGTGTGATGTGTGAAGCACATATTCTACTTAAACTTCCGGCATCACTTCTTTCATATTTATAAGCATAAGTGAGAGTTTGAATACCTTGCTTTGTTGTATCGAACTGTGCCCCTCGTGCGTTCTTGAGAATGGCCAGCATAGCAAAAATTGAAAAGCGTCATTATTTCCTTAAAGGCAGCGTGCAGGCAAATCTCGACATATGGAACTCTCACGTGGATAGTAATTTTGGGGTCCTACCTAAGCCACTGCCCAACCGGCAGCTCAGATAATGCACTAACGGTTGAGATATTCGCCTCGAAACTGGACCTCGGGATCGTATCTAGCATGGATTCATAGCGCAATTTATCAGTTTCGCGCGAGGACCCATGGGTTGCGCCATGAATCCATGCGAAATACGATCCCGGAGTCTAGTTTCGAGGCGAATATCTCAACCGTTAGAGCACTACCTGAGCTGCCACTTGGGCAGGTCACGTGAGAGCCCCATAGATTTGCCTGGACGCTACCTTTAACGACTTAATATCATTGTTGTATTAGCAGTATAGAAGCAATGATGAGTTTTCCTCACTTTTTGGTTCTTTTAAGGGACCCTCTGACTATATTAAATGTGCAGGGCAAACATTTCCTACGAGAGCAAATCAAGAAAAATGGTGAGAACTTAGAAATTATTAGTGCATGCGGGTTTACTTGGTTAGTTTTTTAAGGGAAAAGGAGGAGGGAAAGTTGATAGCAATCAGATTGGTTAGCCGCTGTGCCTAACATCATCAATTATTTATGGACATTTGGTGGGCTTAAACTTGCCCGCCATTGCTTTGTTTGAAAAAGTTCGAGGAAACGTCAAATGAGGAAGAAAGGTTAGTCGTATATTGACTTGAGAAGTACGGAACGCTAATTCCATATATACCGTATCTGCTGCGGGTTTCTGAGCAAGGAGTTTTGTTTTTATGGGCAAAAAATTCATTGCATGATTAGTGTAAAATCTCTTTTCTAGCGTTCCGAAGTGGCAGAGATATGTTACAAACAAGAATCTTCATTGCACAGAACAACCCGAAAATTATGCCAGATGTAGAAAAAATGTTACGAGTAATTTAGCCTACGCGGGACCCCCTGCAGATAAGAAACGTATATTTGGAATCAGCGTTTCATATCTTTCGAAGCAGTATCTATCATATCAAAAGACCACCTTGACTAATCTTATTTTACTTTTAAGTACAGAGCAGAGTGAGATCTTACAAACGTGACAGTATGCTAGATATGATAATGGTTTTAGTGCTTTTACTCATGACTTCCATTTAGCATGGATGCGCTGAGAAAGTCTAATACTTCTTCTACAGACGAAATTCCGCTTAGTTCCTCCTCAACTTAACCGATTCCTTCGTGATGTTTCAAGACATACTGCGAGCGATACGATTAAAATGGGGGAGGGAGGGAAGAAAAAGCTGTGGACTCTCATGAAAGCGAAACTCAATTACGCTGTCACCCTACGTCCAAAGAACGCATTTTTTGGTTGCAACACAGCGCTGAGCTCCAACGTTGCAACTTTGCATCCGATATCGTTACAACGTCAGCAACAGTGCACAGAATGATCAACATTTGAATCTCAATTATTCGAATTCTTTCTTGCACAATCAGTGAAGGAGTAGAGATGTTGAAGCATAGGCAGATAGAAAATGGAAAGAGTATGTTACTAAAATTTCTGCATCCTTCCTAACAGAATTAACTTTAGTCGTCGAAGGCTTCTTCTGTAGTTTTTCGTTACCACAGAATAGTGCGTGCCTTTTTTTCCCCCCGCCCCCTCTCGCTCGTCCCTTGAAGATATAGATCATGATACGAAAAAATTAGTGCACCACTAACAACTTCATCGGGGTGGATCAACGATCGGCTTCTTCTACCAGTGTGCCTCTTTGTAGTTGTGCATAAGACAAAGTCTAAACTCAGGAAGTACGGAGATGACATTTGACGGCGTAGTTTCACAGGTCAGAAAAAAGCGAAGAACTTTATAATATTCAATAATTCTTGAGAGTTCTGTCAAACTTCACTAATAGGAAAGAAATTTTCACGAATACCACTCCTTATTATCCAAATCCCCTCTTCAGGCCTAAAGCATATCTCGCGCGATTTTGTCAAATCGCTAGATCCGCGGCTTAGCGGTTGCCAGATGTATAGAAACTAGCTATGCGCAGGTCTAAAATGAATAGACGCGTAGCTTCCTTAAGCTATAGCAAAAGCTTTAAGTTTGGCCCATACAAAGCGCGCTTACGACCAGTCATGAAGAGTCGCTGTAGTGCCAGATTGCGCAGCGAAATTGCGAGAGGTATGCGTTAGGCCTTACAGATATTCGAAAAAATTTTTTAAAAAGTTTCTCTTTACTCCTGCTATAGAAAATTTGTCATAGAGGAGCTCTTCAAGCCAGATGTCAAGTTATGATGGATATCATTAAAACAAAATCCCTTTTTCCGAAAAACCATAATTCTTACTGTGCTATCTTATCAAAATATTTTGTTTTGGGCAACATGAAACTGATTAATCGATAACTTTTGACTCCCTTCTCCGTTCTTTTTTGAAAGTCACCTCAAAAGCAGTCAAATCTCAAAACGACGATGTATTTTACACTCATCTTAAGGATGGAATAAAGGATTCGGTCTTCAATGTCTTCTGCGGGTATGCTTCGAACGCATACTACATCATAGTCGAGAAGGCAGGTGAATGCGTGCAGGACTTTTACAATGACTTGCGGAAGCCAGCCGATCATCAAGTCAATGCTCTTGAGGGGACGAGTGGCGTAGTGGTATGAGGCGCCGCTTGACCAGATCGCATCCAGGTTCGATCTCCGCCCCTGGACCATCCAAGCCGTCTACCCCGGGGCCGCTAAATTGGTACCAGAGTAATCTGAGTGGATAAAAGCACTGGCATCATCTCAACTCTCAAAATGCCTTTGTTCTCGATTTGGTGGCGATAAATATTGTTTTTGCACGCCCTACATGACGCCTACAGGCCACTATAAAAAAAACATGCTCCATGAACTGCCTCCAGAGCGAGTACAGAACATTATCTCAAGAAAAAAGACTTTCATGCTATTACCTACGGACTGGCATTTTGGGAGAACACTGCCCTTCAAACGCCTGCAAATGGTTTTTATTGGGATCTGTCTACTGCCCCCCCCCCTGTAAACCTGCAGGGAAGACATATGAAGTGCTTACAGACAGACAAACAAAACAAATAAAAACTGTCCCGCGGGCCTCTGCGAACCTAAAATCATTGTAAGGTATCCTATGGGCACCTTACAGAGCATTAATTTGAAGAATGACTGCCTTTTGGGCTGCTATCGAGCTGAATTTTTCAAGCATGTTTTCCAAAAAACTGCTTTATGACCTTCTTAAACTAATATTTTGAAAGCAAACCTATTGGACGCTTACGAACAGTCACTCCGAAAGAAGACTGCCCTCAGGGCTGCATTCGGACCGATATTTTGAGAGGAAATTACCTTACAAACCTTCGAACCAATAATTTCGAGCACCTTAAAAGTCGCTCAGAGACCGTCACTTCAAGAAGCAACCGCAGTACGAGTACCACAAACCAATATTTTGAGAAAAGCATAAGCTGCTAAAGAACATTTCTTTTTACAAATCAATATAATAAGGAGCAACTGCCCTACGCGCCGCTGTTGGCTATTGTGAGTGAATCAGTAAAGACCTAGAGGTTGACGCCATTTGGCAGGATGTATCTCAAAGCGAGGAAAACTTGCAAGAAGGTGAATGTTGAGGTCTCTACGCCCACCACTTTGGGTGGTCTAGTGGTAATGATTCAAACTAGACTTATACCGAAAGACTAAACTCAGGTGGAGTAAGATGGAGGAAGACCACTCCGCCACAGCTAAAAAGAATTGTAGCTTCTTTTGAAAAGTTACGAAAGCGCGGAGGAAACTGCAGACATCTTGTTTGGAAACATGTAAAAGGGTTGGGAGAAGAATGGGGTCATTCAAGAAAAAACCAAACAAGCGTACAGGGGATGGTAAAGGTCGATGAGTGGAAGCCATTGCTACGTTTGGCTTCTTGGTTTTCTTTGTCCTGTCAAATCTTTCTGGTATCAGATGTAAGCTTTCAATCATCAGAAGCGATTTTATAAATACGGTTAAGTGGGCATTGAGCATTTTCGCAGACTCGTCGATCTTCACGATCTGGCAAAGCCCTAAATATCCATACAAGCGAGCAAGTTTAGTTGATAAAGGATAGTCGGAGCTTACTTTTTCCAACTGTTTATTACTTATTTATCAAATCAATCTGTTAGGGACATTATAAGAAATGATAAAATTTACAGGACAAGTTTAGCAAGACACCATAGTCGCATTAGTGTTA